CTCATTTTAAAATTAAGTTTTGAATATCAGGCTTTTGGATGTCCTTTCTAATGGAGACCTGAGAAATGGAGACGGGCTCATATTTACGTCCAGCTGTTACTTCATCCAAATGAAAAATGGAGAACAGATAAGCAGATCATGGCTTGTCTACAGTGAAAAGAAGGACTGGGTTATTTACTTTGGCCTTTTTGGAAACACAGGAAGGAGCAATCAGCTAAGTGAGCTTAGTGCTTGGAAAAAATCTTTCATTCCTTTAGAGACAGCATGAAAAGTCAGCTGAGTACAAAACATAGAGAGGAAAACAAGAAGAAAAGGGACAAGAAGAGAGGGACACAACCTAGAACAGATAATGGATGTCTGTTCTATTAACATTTCTCTATCTGGAGAATGGGGCAGTTTGATGTGTTGTCTTCTCAATTCAGAGGGCCCCCTGCCTGTCTTTGCCTAGGGCCCCACATTTCCTAAATCCACCCCTGCTAGAGCAGGTATCAAAAAAGCAACCGACAGGCTGGAAAAGGCAGTTATTCACATGCTGGGAAAATGTTCAGAGTGGATCCAACTGAAATAAATGTGGATCTATTTAAAACCAGGCAGAGAAACTTTAAAGAGAAGGTAAACATCGACCCAAATTTAGAGTTCAGAACTGAGTCGTCAGAGTAGAAGGAGCTTAGAAATCCTTCACTCAACTTATCCAATTCTTCCCTCTTCCTGGATTTGAACCACCAGCACCACCTCAGCAGACCCACCTGCTGTCATCCATCTGATCCGGGACCGGGACAGGTCTGCAAACAGGTGCAGAGACTGGCAGGTCCAACCTGCTCAGAGGATGGTGGACCTCTGCAGTCACTTCTGCTTCATCTCACCGTATTGAAAAACACTATGCCTGCAGGGAATCACTTCTGATTCCTAGGAAGAACCCTTTCACAGAACCTGAGCTTGTTCCCACACATAGAAAGTGTTCAGAGGCTGCAGCCAGATGAGGAAACACTAGGAGTATGACCTTCTACAACAGCTACTGGCCATCTAATAAACCAGTGATTCCCAAACGTGGGTACTCGACCCCTACTGGCCATCGAATGCATTGCAAGGGGTAGCTTCATGAAAATATTTCATTTATGGGATCTGTTCTACTTTGTGAGGACCCAACTGAAAAAATAAAACAAACTTTTTTCAACCCCAAATTCCATTTTTCTTATATGTTTAAGTTCGCCTTCAGCTTTGACAAACATCCAAACCAAGTAGAGGAACAGACTGGATGTAGAGAACAGTCTGGCATCAGCTGTTTTCCATCATTCGATCTCATCCAGCAGCTCAGGTGTCATGAATCATGAAAACAAAGTAAAACAAATGGAGTCATTCTGACTATAATTTTTTTTTTCAGTATTTTATTCCCAGTTCATCATGTTTAAATGTGATTATAAGGGAGTTACTCTGAGGTGCTCCAGTTTTATAAAAGCAGATTTATAGTATGATTTTTTTGTATTTATTTTTGATAGCTTGGTAGCTTCCAGGCAACATATTTATGTTGTTTCTGTTATATGAGTTGGAAAGAATAACATTTCAAAAAATTAATTGTTTAAGTTAAAAAGATTAAATAGAATACTTTTCTTTTATAATCAGTTATTGTATGTTCCACTTTTGGGCAGTCATCAATAGTTTTGACTGAGGTGTGGGTACTCATGGTCAGACAAAGGTTTCATGAAACGAGCATTTAACATCTCTGCAGACCCCACACATGCTGGGTGTAAACTGTTCAGAGTTCTACTGAGTCAACTGACATGGTTGCTTGGCAACAGAGCATAGAGGCAGTTACCGCCTCCTTATTTTCACAGCCCAGTCCAGGTAGGCTGGGTCCTTCAGAGGATGCAGCCTCTGGATCCGAACCCTGCAGAGTGTAGGAGAGGAAACCAGCCCCACCGTGACCCAGAGGGATACGCTGGAGAAGATGGATGGATGGATGAGGGATGGATGGATGGTGTTGTGCCATATGCCATGATCATACTTTTTGGACATTGGGAAGCAGTGTCCATATTTCATCCTGATAGGATGACCAGAGGAGAGAACGCAGCTTTGGTGGATAACAGCTGGGGGAATTCAGCAGCCCCCCCTTTTTTCAGCAAAATCAGCCACCAGCAAGTCACATGGGAACCACCAGAGGTGTGAAAACCTACCCCCTCTCTGTGAAGTCAGAGAAAACCACAGAGCACGCAGGATTCTGCCTCTTTTGCCTCTTCACTCTTTCTCCCTCGTCTGATCCAGCCTGCTTCTGCTCCTGCGCTCAAAGCTGGGGCCCACTGTGGCCCACAGTGGAGATGCGGGCCCCAGGGGAACCAGATCCCCAGAACCATCGAGGATAAGTCGAACCCTTCAGAACCAAACTGCTGCAAACAGAACTTTTGCAACACATTTCTCTTGAGTTTCAGAACTTACAGAGCCAAACTGGACGAGGAGCATGCCCTGGTGTGAGACTGAGAGGACCCCTGCTGTGAGACTGAGACAATGAGTCCCTGACTGCAGAGCTGCAAAACTGGATGAAACTCAAGCTTTCCAAATGGACATGGAAAAAGGTTTGCAGGTCTGGCATGATTAGGGACAGAACAAGCAATGTGTCTTTTGATGATGCTAATCATATCGTGTGTTTACTGCGGAGTAAATACAACACTAATTGATGCTAAAGAATGGACTGCATGCTACGCTATGCTACAGGAATATGTGTTGAGCTGTTGCTAAAGCTAGACAAGCTTTATTCACTAAGGATTTAAACACTGATGTAACATTAGTGTTCAAATGTTCCTCAGATGCTCATTACATTTCCATTACCAAGTCTGACCAAGAGTCATTTAGTGGAATCCTGATGTCTATTCGCTGCTAGCTATTTCAAAGAGCGTAAAGAATCATTTAACTAAAGGTTTTTGGTTCTTGATTAAGCAAATCATTCAATAGAACATTATTTGGCCAAATAATGTTTTATTCACCTCATGGATTTGCATTGTGAATTGATCTGAAAACATTCCAATTTCTTTAAAATTAGTGAAAAGCTCATTTGATTATATCCCAAATTATTCCAGATAAACTTGGTTTCAAACACAGAATCCATCTTAAACTGTAATATGTTTTTCAACTGTTTTCCCCTTCCTCTTTGTACATAGTAGTTAGTTTAGTTTAGTTGAGTTTTACTAGTCTTAGTTGAGAGTGTTAAACTGAAATATGTTTGACTTGGAGCTGAATGAATTTTGTTAATAAATCTTATATTTTGAACAGAAGTTGTGGTGAATTTGTTCCATGTATGTGCAGAAATAACTGTTTGACCATGATTAGTGCTCGAATCACTCTTTCATTCATTGTTCTAACACACAGTTAGTAGGACTGTGTGTCATAAACAGTATATAACAGCTGAAATAATATCTGATTAAATAAGATATTTTACCACCCCTACAGGGGAGGGCAATAAACATCTTAAAGTATCAGAAACATAAATTCCCAGCGGGCTAGGAATATAATTTAACTATAGAATCACAACAATGGGGAATGGATGGATGGATGAGGGATGGATGGATGATGGATGGATGGATGGATGGATGGATGGATGGATGGGGGATGGATGGATGGATGGATGAGGGATGGATGGAGGATGGATGATGGATGGATGGATGGATGGGGGATGGATGGATGGATGGATGGGGGATGGATGGATGATGGATGGATGGATGGATGGATGGAGGATGGATGGATGGATGGAAGATGGATGGATGGATGGAGGATGGATGGATGGATGGAGGATGGATGGATGGATGAATGGATGATGGATGGACGGAGGATGGATGGAGAATGGATGAATGATGGATGGATGGATGGAGGATGGATGGATGATGGATGGACGGAGGATGGATGTACGATGGATGGAGGATGGATGGATGGGTGGAGAATGGATGAAAGGATGGATGGATGTCAGATGTATCTATGGATGGATGGATGGATGGATGGATGGATGATGGATGATGGATGGATGGATGGATGGATGAATGAATGGATGGTTGGATGGATGGATGGATGGAGAATGGATGGAAGATGGATGGATGGATGGATGGATGGATGGGGGATGGATGGATGGATGGGGGATGGATGGATGGATGAGGGATGGATGGAGGATGGATGATGGTGGATGGATGGATGGGGAATGGATGGAGGATGGATGGATGGATGGAGGATGGATGGATGGATGGAGGATGGATGAATGGATGATGGATGGACGGAGGATGGATGGAGAATGGATGAATGATGGATGGATGGATGGATGGAGGATGGATGGATGATGGATGGACGGAGGATGGATGTACGATGGATGGATGGATGGAGAATGGATGAAAGATGGATGATGGATGGATGGATGTCAGATGTATCTATGGATGGATGGATGGATGGATGATGGATGGATGGATGGATGGATGGATGGATGGATGAATGGATGGTTGGATGGATGGATGGAGAATGGATGGAAGATGGATGGATGGATGTCAGATGGATTGATGGATGGATGGATGGATGGATGGATGGTTGGATGGATGGAGAATGGATGGAAGATGGATGTTGGATGAATGTTTGTCTCATGATAGATGAGACAAAGTGCATCTATCTCAGATTTCTGGGTTTTGAGTGATTAAAGCAGACTCTGACTGATACTAAAATTATTTTATTATTATTTATTATTATCATTTGACTTTTTGAACATCTGTTTGGTTTCAATAAACATGTTTAGCACTGTACATAAAAGAGGAAACTTACTAACAAAGCATTCAACATTATTTTACTTATCATAACATATTACTCTAGTTAATTAATTAAGTGAAGTATGAAACATTTTAAACATCTGTGATTTCAGAGCTTTTCATCTCATATTTCTGGTTATAATAACGTATTTTTCATTCAGTATAATATGTGTTTATGTTGTTCGGTTGTTGAATCAGCCTGGGGGACTAGGATGGGTGTTACACACGCAGGGAGGAGGAGTTCCGGTGGGTGTGTGGCGTCTTTTCCTCTCATTCAGTGCGACGTTTTATTTAAGTTGAAAGATGGCGGCGGTGCATCTCAGGATCGGGGATCTAGTGTGGTGAGAAGACCTTTAAACACAACTAAACTCTTCTTTTTAGGCTTAAACTGTTTACCAGGCTGTTATAGTTGCTAGTTTGAATCCCCACAGCCAGACCGCGGTAATCAGAGGTTACTAAGTAGAGAGGAAGCGGGTTTTTGGGCAGTTGGTGTTCAACCCAAACAAATTGCTAGCCTAGCTCAGTTAGCTGCCGTTAGCTCCCAGTCAGCGAGCCAAACTTCTAAAAGCAGCGTTGAAATGTCTCATAGTCAGCTCCCTCTGTCACACAGATGCTGTGTGCTTTGAAAAACAGACAGTTGTTGGATTTATAAAGCTCGGGGTTTGAGTTTTTAGTTGTTGTTGTTGTTGACATGTTGAGCTAGCTCTGCTAGCATCAGAGCTTCTTTTCCCCAGCGGATGTCGTTTGGCTCTGAGCCTGCTCGGCTTCCGTGTTATTAACTCCGCGTTAGCTCGGGTTTATTTTACAGCCTCTTTAGCTGTTTGGTGATATTGCCCTTCTAACTGCATACAGGGAATTAAACCATAAAACACGTATTATTTACTCTCCATTAAATAACGCAGTGGGTTAGCGACCACAGTTGATCACATGCTGCTTAAATGACAGCATTGGCCTCTGTTGAACTCTCCTCTCCACCCTCAGAGTTCCTTTATTCAGACGCCTGGATAATCTGTTATCGTTTTCCTGGAGAAGTTAAGCTATATTTGTAGGAATCCAAGGCCTTTAGATGTTAACTAATGTGAAGCTGCAGAGGGTTTTATGAAAACAATCCGGATGAACTCAGACACGGCCTTGTGAAACTGGCAGACTTTGACCAGCCTTCTACAAACACGTTTTGTACACAACTAGTTTCCAGTGGGACAAATGAATCAGTCCTCATCACCAAAACAAACACATCTATTACATTTAGCTCTAAGGCCTCTTTGACAGAGATCTGTTAAAAGCAAAAACCGGGAAGAATCTCCCTCTGGTTTTTATGGATGTTTCTGGATTAATTTGTTATTTGGGTGTTATAAGAAACCTGAACTATATTAACCTGGAGTAAAAACAGCATCACGAGTTTACAATGAGAACACACATAAAGTTTGAAAACCCATAACTAATATATAACATATTATTGCCTAATGAAAAAAATTAGGCAATACTAGGCAGTTAACTCGGGCCCCAAGTTCCTGGGGGGCCCATAAAACTCTGTTTACATGTATGGTTAATACAACTATTCCTTATTTGTGCACATTAATTATGTTTTTGATAAAAATGCCATCAGAACTCTTATAATATTAATATTATAATACCAGTGTCCACCATATTGGATCAGTCCATTTGCTGCACATGTTCAGAAAGGTCCAAACAGACAGCAGCAAACTAATTGAAAACTAATTTGTTGCCAACTTAGCGCTTTAGTCGCTATATTTAGCCACTTTTCAGACCCCTCTAGCACTTTGATTTCTAAAAAGCTCCTGGCGCCAAATCTAGAGACTTTTTTCTGCTACTGGAGACTTTGGAGACAACATCTAAAAGCAGCGAACTCTGCTCTCCAGAGCAAATAGATTGGTAACCCCGCCTCCTGCTCTCCTCTATCTTGTCTGCTGTCATGATTCATGCAGCTATTATTTCATCCAAATGAAAAATGGAGAACAGATAAGCAGATCATGGCTTGTCTACAGTGAAAAGAAGGACTGGGTTATTTACTTTGGCCTTTTTAGAAACACAGGAAGGAGCAATCAGCTAAGTGAGCTTAGTGCTTGGAAAAAATCGTTCATTCCTTTAGAGACGGCATGAAAAGTCAGCTGAGTACAAAACATAGAGAGGAAAACAAGAAGAAAAGGGACAAGAAGAGAGGGACACAACCTAGAACAGATAATGGATGTCTATTCTATTAACATTTCTCTATCTGGAGAATGGGGCTGTTTGATGTGTTGTCTTCTCAGTTCAGAGGGCCCCCTGCCTGTCTTTGCCTAGGGCCCCAAATTTCCTAAATCCACCCCTGATTATTTTCTGTTTAGTTTCTTTCTCTTTATACATTTGGCTCTAAAAATGTCCTAAGATAATTTTTGGAGGTTGGTTAGTTGGATTTCTATCCAGATGTTCTGCCTGCAGCTCATCCAGCTGTGGTTTAAAAACAGCGTTGCATTGTTACCAGTGAAGCGCTGTAGGTTTTCACACCGTTACTGTCTGTGGCTGTTTCTGGGTTAGCGAGGCATCAGTCTGCAGCAGCAGGTGGGCTTTCATAAAACCAGGGGAAAAAAAGCTTGATTCTTTCTCTGAAGTTTTATTTCAAAGACTTTAAACTAAAAAAAATAAAGAAAAACACTTTACCAGACTGTGTTAGCTCTTTATGAAACGTCTAAACGTGGGATGTCAGCCAGAGCAGCTTTCTCTTTTAACTCTGTTGTTGACATGGAAATAATGAATTTATTCGATTAAACCAAAATAACCACATGGGCCACTTATTTTCAGGGTTTCTGTGTTTGCTGTGATCCCAAACAGAAAAACGATTTCAATCATTTGGGTATAATTGCTGCTTGGAATGTTTTTTTTATCCCTGCAGCCAAAGAGAAAGGCTGGCGTTGTGCAGCTCTGTCATTTTGTTCAAACTTTTCTGTGCTTTAATAACGATATCGGCATATGCCCAAGTTAGCTTGGAGCACAGAGTGTCTGTTAAATCAACACTGTGTAACTTAAAGGTGGTGAAAACCAGGATTGAATGCGGCTGTTCATACTCCCTCCTTACGTTAATATCTGTGACGTATATCCAACTCCAGTTTTCATAAACACCTCGTGATCCTCTGCTAACGAGGCCAACCAGCTGCCAGGGTTCGGGGACAGTTTCCACTCCCAGATCCCAGTGAAAACAAATGAAAACATATTTTAGAATAACCTTTTCTGCTCATTCAGGTTGTGTTTGTCTGATATTCAGCTTTCTTTGATGGCCTGAAAAATTTTACTGTGGCAAAAAAAAAAAAAAAAAAAAAAAACTAAAACAAATCAAGAGCAAACTGATTTTTGTCCATGGACAGAAATAATGGGACGGAAGGCTCGATCAGATCTAAAATGTTTTTAATGTAAACATGTCAGATGGAAGATTATTAAAATACGATTCGGAAAGAAATTTCATTCAAATTGAGAGTTGTTTTTTTTTTATCAATTAGGATAATCTCCTCTGCTGATGGATGTACATCAACATGACCTTTCTCTCTTTGCTAACCTTCATCCTAAATATAATGTGTGGATCAAGATCCTATCCTGCCCTGTAGCTAATCAGCGTTAGCATACGGTACAGCTGAGCCCTTAACTTCACTAAAATGACCAGCAATAGCAAAAGGATGATATAACGAAGGTCCATAGTGGAAAAAACTACATCAACAGACACGACTGAAGCACCAGAGAAAAAGAAAAATGGAGAGGCTGCAGCAGCGGATGAGCTGAAGATTACCGGTTTGTTTACAAACAGGCGGCAGCTTCTTCTGCCTCTAAAACGTTTCCAGAAATCTAGCTGCTTCTGCTCATTAAATAATTTAATCTGACCAAACGCTCGGTACGTGTTTTCACACATCAGATTGCATGATTTTATTGGTGTCCATGGAAACACAGATTTTAAACTTCCGATTAACCAAGAGTTAGATCGGATCGGCGAAAGTTTGCACATGCAAACACAGCTAATTTAAATTTGCACTTTAATTGCCACAACAATCCTAATCAGGAGGTAAATGTTAGATATCGAGTTATAAATTTTTTTTTTCAGGGTGATTCTGATTATTTCGACATCAGTCTGACGATGCCTGATTCTTCATGGCGATGTTGCTTTTTTCCTTCTCCATATATATGATAAATTGACACAATTAGGGCTGCAACTAATGATGATTTTACAAACCAATTAATTTGTTGCTTATTATTTCGATGAATGGATTAATAATCGGAAAGCTAAATGTTCCTTAAAGAGGATTTTCTATGAAATTAAACCCGGTGAAACAAAAACGTTTCTACTTGAGGAGTTTAAGTATTATAGTATAAATGCTGCTCTAAGTGGGTCGCTCTGGCAACTAAAGGCATGTTTTACTATATGCTCTAATCAATTACTGAATTAGTTTTTTGATTATTTCAATAATCGATTATTTCGAACTAATTGTTTCAGCCGTAGACACAATGATAACAAACGGTTCATCAGTCTCAGTTTTAACAAAAGAAACGTTTATTGACGACTCAAACAAAGCATTAACAATGGCTAGCAGGTGAAGGCAGCGGTGCTGATGAGTCTGCGAATGTTGGTTAAGCTAAGCGTCCAGTTTAGGGGAGGGTAGATGTTAGCTAATCTGAAGCTATAAATGTTTAGCATTTTACTCTCAGAGCCCAGATTGTGCTGCATGTGATACTGCAGCCTTTTGATTCTGTTTTTCAAACATTTCTGCAGCTGAGCTAATGCTAACGTTAAGTGTTATTTCAGGGGCAAGCTGGGCCGTTACCCACCATGGCCAGGAAAGGTAAGAGAAAACCCCGAATAGCTTTAAAAAGCAAAGAACTATGGAGCTCACAAAGCTCCTATGTATAAACCAATCACAAGAAAGCACTCCACATGGGATGACTTGCATCCAGATCCTCCAGACCGCCTGCACAAAGCAAAGTCTACATCCTCCACAGTTCTTCCCATCCTGCTCTGCTCCGACTTCTGCTCTAAGCTGTAGTTACTGATCTGTCGTTACTATATCTTAATTTGACAAAACGGATCTTCTCGCCGTTCTTTTTCCTGTTTGGTGCGATTGCACTTGGCCGGAGTGGAGCATAAAAATAGCTCAGCTCCATATTTTGATGGTGAAGGATGGAGACCAGGGCCCTATAATTTCCGCGATCACTGAATCGCGGGCGGAATCGCAGAATTGGCAAATTTACGCAGAATCTAGTGTAAACGCGGGATTTCTACATTTGGAATGAAATTCTGTTTATGTGTGGGAGAAGAACGTACGTCGGGGGCAAATGCACACCGGGGGACGCAAATCTGGGCGACACAACGCCTCCCGCTCCGTCATTTCCGCTCACCCTCCCCCATCAAAACATTGAAAAAAAGGCGACACGGCTCTCCACAACTCCGCTTTCGGCGAAGAAGTTGAGAAACACGACACTAAGCCTTGAGTACAGAGCCGAGCCATTCCCTCGTGACTTTTACGTGTCAGGGGAACAATTGTTTTGCATGTTTTCTCAACATTCCATTGATTCCATTGAAAGTTAGCTCACAGGGATTAGTCCTACAACTTGAATACTTGTTTCAGTAACTTTTGATCAAAAGTTTTTGTCTGTTACATGATGATAAAGTCCGCTTTAGTTGTATAACTCAGGAGTACTGAGTAAAAAGATAATGGGGCACTTTTATTTATAAGCATTGGTTCATAACCATTAATATTGTGTTAGTACTTAGAGTGCAGCGTTATGTTGCATCATGCAGTAAAAGAACTGAGTAAATATGTTTTTTTACCTCAATAAATTTAAGGTCATTCCTATTTTATTTGTGTACATTTTAATCATTAACATTAAAAGCACATTCTTTTTACGACTGAAATAATAGTAAAAGGTAAAAAAAAATTGCATTTTCAAAAATTAAAACGGAAATAACTGAATTTGGGGAAAAATAAAACGGATTTTATAGGGCCCTAGGAGACGTTCTGAGGAGTAGCGGTGGGTGTGAAACAGTTCACATTGTTTAACATGAATGCACAAGGTCTTCGCACGATGTTCGTGAGCGGGGGGGTGACAGAGGATGTGGAATCTGGGGCTAAGTCATCCCACGTGGCATGCCTTCTGGTGATTGGCTTATACAATGGAGCTTTGTGATTGGTGGCCAACCACTCCTGCTTTAAGTCTCATAAATCCACACACAAAAGCAGTGGAGTTTAAAGACCACTGGCACTTTTTAATTTCATTTATAGTTGTTTATGGAGCAGAAATACTTTGGTGAATCTTGTACTGTGCATGTTTGAATCACATATGTGTATTTGGGAAAATAATTCTCTTTCAGATAGTAAGCCCCCCCAAGGACCTGAAAAAGCCCAGGGGCAAAAAATGCCACTTTGTGAAATTCTTTGGAACTGAGGACCAGTGAGTTAAAGCCCCGCCGTAGCTGCTCCGATGTTTTCCCTGCTTCTCATCCTTTACCACATGTCAGAGTTTGTGCTTCTTGTTTCTGAGCAGCGCCTGGATCAAAGTGGAGCAGCTGAAGCCCTACCACGCCCACAAAGAAGAGATGATCAAGATCAACAAAGGAAAACGGTTCCAGCAGGCAGTGGACGCCGTGGAAGACTACCTGAAGAAAGCCAAAGGGAAAGATCAGGTAACTCAGAGTTACACTTAAGTTACACTTAAAGGAATAGTACACCCAAAACATGATTAGCCTTCATTTTCTACTCACCCCCATGCTGAACAACACTCTGGAGTACTTTTTTGATATCTCAAATGCATCTGGAGATCTGGGAGGCTTTTTGCTGTCTGCTGACATTCAAATAATGGAGGTCTATGGCGCCCGAGGCAGAAAGGTCCATAAAAGTCCACAAAAAACGTGTCAATTTTCCTCAATACTGCTCGTCCAATGTATTCCAAGTGTCCTGAGTGGGTAGCATCCAGAATTTACTCGAAGTCATTTAGAATGTTTTTAGAGCATAAACAGTAGTGTATAGGATTTCCTAAAAGCGCGTTCACGAGTCTACGGAAACCGCGGCAGACCAAACCAGATGAAAGTGCGCATTCAGCGTCTGCTCTGCCGATAATGCAAGCGTAGAAGAAGAAATGTGCTGTTTACCTGTGCAAAGAAAGAAACAACGAAAGAAAAATGTCTGAGGACTTCAGTGTTGAGGAAGAGCATGAGTTCTTTGCCGAGCTGAATGCGCACTTTCATCTGGTTTGGTCTGCCGGCTTCCGTAGACTCGTGAGCGCGCATGTGCGCGCTTTCAGGAAATCCTATACACTACTGTTTATGCTCTAAAAACATTCTAAATGACTTAGTTTCGAGTAAATTCTGGATGCTACCCACTCAGGACACTTGGAATACATTGGACGAGCAGTATGGAGGAATATTGACACGTTTTTTGTGGACTTTTATGGACCTTTCTGCCTCGGGCGCCATAGACCTCCATTATTTGAATGTCAGCAGAGAGCAAGAAGCCTCCCAGATCTCCAGATGCATTTGAGATATCAAAAAAGTACTCCACAGTGTTGTTCAGCATGGGGGTGAGTAGAAAATGAAGGCTAATCATGTTTTGGGTGTACTATTCCTTTAAAATGTTTGGTATCATAGAGCAACTAAAAGGGAAAAAGGTTTTAGAAATTAATTTAAGAGCAGCTAAAACATTCGGCCCCCTTACTGCTAAATCCCTAAATAAACCTTGAGAAACAGACAAACCTCAATGAAATGAATGGATCCAGCTGCAGCTGCCCCGGTTCTGCTCTCTTAGCTTCTTTAGAGCGAAATCGGATTATAAATCCCAGCAGAACCACCAGGGAGGAAGTTCTGGTCCAGTTTAAAGTAGGTTCCGGTCCATCATTGGACCACTTGCAGTCTAGCATGACAGGCTGGACAAGGAGAGCACTGATGGCAGCGGCAGGCAGTAGACCTGTGGTAGCTCTGGAGGAGCTGCAGTGATCCACAGCTCAGGTGGAAGAACCCTCAGCTTTCTGTCCCGTTTTCCAGAACAGAACTTTCTGGTTGATGTTAACTTCCAGCTGGACAAAGACTGTAAACATGCGTCCAACGGGCCTAGTCAAAGTCCACACCTGTATCTTAAGCTGGGCGTACACTGGACGATGTTTTAAAACTTTGAACACAGCTACAAGCTCACACTGTACAACTAAACCGCAGGGTTTAGAAGTTCCCAGCTCACCATGTTTGTTCTCAAGCTGTGCGACCCGACGCTCTGATGCGATCTATCTGCTCGCACTGTACATCTAAAAACCAGGTGGGACTCAGCTCCGCAGTGAGATGGCGCTACTCAGACTCGTCTATCTGGAAGCCAAACGAGTAGAAGAGGAACATGAGGCTCACTAGAGTGAAACGCGCTGCCTTGGATATTTGTGCAATTTAGTGCTGAAAGCCCTAAAAAGAAAAGAAGACGACATATTTGGACAAAGACATGGCTGAGCAAACGTGGCTACTACGGTCTGTCAGTTTGACAGAAAGAACTCAATTTCACTCATTCCGATTCCTGATGGGGGGGTGGTCGTTGGAGGCTGATCGCCCCTCGTTAGCCCCTGTACAGCTACACCACGCACCATCAGGCTGGGAATTGGCCTGAAAACGGCTAAAAATCGTACAGTGTGTACTCGGCTTTAGACCCCTAAAGAGGAGAGACGGGGTTTCAGGTTCCCCTGAATAAGTTTATGAATACTCTGAATGTGTTTATGTGCCGAACTTTCCAGATTTTTGTTTCCTGTTGCGTTAAAAAAACGCAGAATGGTTTTTCTGATTCCCAAAGTTGCGTCGTTTTCCATCTGTCGTAAAAATCAGTTCTGCTGGTCTGCGAACCCACAGCAGCTCAAAGGTTGAACTAGTTCTGCAGCAGCTAAAGTCGGGTTTTTAAATCTTCTTAAAAGCTTTGGATGGACGTGTAAAATGTCTGTGTGTTTCTGGCAGAACTCTGACAGTAAAGGAGAATCAAAAGGCAAAAAAACCTCCAACAAGCCGCTGAAGATTCTAGAAGAAGATGACGAGGATCTCAGCGCGTTGAAGGACCCGTCAGAAACGGTTAGTTGGACTTCATGTCTGCTCGAGAAAATATTTTCCTCCGGTTTCTGGTTGTGTTTCAGTGAAACACCGTCTGTTTCCTATGAAAAGCTGGTGTGAATCGGGCCGTTCTCACTCTGGTTTCTTAATCCACAGTCAGTCTCACTTCAGCTTTACAGTGTTCCTTAAGATTCGGCCAAATAAAACCCTAAAAAATCATTTATAGACACAAATTTATTTTAGTTCATCGGTTCCAGTTAAGTCTCTGTTAGACATTAAAGACCATTGAACTGCTGGCGTGTTAACAGCCTGTTGGTCTGGGAAACTCAGCCTCTGCGTCTAAAGCTGCGTTTTCACCAACGCAGAGGATTCCCACGTTATCTCTGTAGAGGGCGAATCTGCAGTGGAGCGACGGTGGCGAATTTAGGGAGGCAGGCGGCTCGGTTTTGGCCGGTTGGTGTCATTTGGTCGCCGTCTTGTCTGCAAATGAAGTGGAAAAATCAAATCTTTTGTTGGCGATGCGAAATCAAGTCAGTGACTAGAATAGAATAATAAGTAAAGTAGATTTATTTCATTACTGTACTTAAGTACTTTTTTGAGTATCTTTAGTTTATTTGCGTCTTTTTTTTGGAGGCTTTAGTTTCCAGGAAGCTGCTAATTCTTCGTTCCTTCTGTTCATCTTAGCTTTTAATCCTCTGTTGCTGTTTTTCATCCATCATGGCGGACAGCAGCCCTCAGGACTGAATCTGGACGCCACTGATCTGAAGATTTATTCACGTTCCACAGATGAGAGAAACTCAGAGCAGATATTATTACTAGATTATAATTTATTAAGGCGTTAGTTGTTACCATGTGGCCAAGTTGTTCAGTAGGATGAGTCTCAGATCAGAGTTCTAGTTTCTTTATAGTCATAGATTCAACCTTTAAGCTCTATTCTATAGTGAAAGAATGAGGAGAATTAAGACTCTGTTTTCTTTTTGGTTTGTTTCTAAATAACAAATCATAATCTAAATATGTCCTTATTTCTGTGGCCTTTTATGCTGAACTTCTTTCCAGGTGGTGTAGAATCTATAGCAGGTGGGTCTATGCATCAGTACATCACTTGATTTCTGACAGTTACAGGTTCTAATTTTATACAGAAATTTTCTGAAATGGGAAGATTTAATTTGCATTTTTTTAATGCTCAAATGCTTTAAAATGCATGTACTTTTGAATACTCGAATATTATCAAAGGTGAGTACTTCAATGCTTCAACCTGAGTAGATTATTGACTGAGTTCTTTTAATTGTAGCTGAGTAAGATTTGATGACGAGTATCAATACTTTTACTGAAGTAGTACTGCTGAGTACTTGGTCCATCACTCACTATATGTGGCTGTGAGCTACAGTGAAGGAACTTCAGCAGAGAACAGCTTATTAAAGAATGGAGAAAATAATGTTGACGAAGGATAAAGTGGGAATGTTGCTTTTAAAAAGTCGTTTTCATTTAGCTCTAGAAGGACTGTTTGGTCGTCTTTCCTCCAGCGCAGACGGATTCCTTCAGGAGAGAAGGCGTCGTCGTCTTCAGCTACACCCCGTCCAGCAGCGGGATGAAAGTGTTAGACTCCTGAATTTCCTATCATCAAACATATTTTTAGATTAATAAATCCAACAACCTTGAGGTTATAGTAGATCTTTATAGAATTCAGTGTGATTTAAGGAAATTTGATCCCATTACTGGATGTGAAGCTGATTTTAGTAAAGATTAGCTTCTGATTATCAGTTGGAGCTCTTAAATTGTCTAGGGCTGCATCTAATGATTATTTTATTGATTGATTAATAATGTGATATCAAAAGGTTCCTTAAAGAAGTTTTTTTTTTTCAGTATGAAACTAAAACTTTTCCACTGGTGGAGTTCTGGATCAATCCTGTTGATAGATGGATTTTTTTTTCTTAAATGCAAAATATGAAGATATTTTTAGAAGTTTTATATAATTACTCCTTAGTGGGTTTCTCTATCAGTTAAACCCTTTAAAGGCCATTTAAAGTTTTTGATCAGATGCATTACCCCCCCACTTAGTGAGGTCTAGAAGCACTAGATCTATATCCAGCCATTCAGCAAAGATCCTGCTACATGGCGGTACATGTAGCAGGAAATTAAGTTGGGAAAAAGGTTAAAAAAGGAAAAAAGCTAATTTAAAAGTTAATAAGTCTAGTTAACAATTATATTTAGGTTTATAAACTAAAAAATGTCAGTGCCAGTATCGGCATTAATGCCTCTAAGGTTATGTTGGACCAAAACAAATGTTTTTCTTTTCTTATAGAAACCTTTTAGTTATTTTTCTTAATAAATTCGGGCAAGTTGGGTGTTTTTGTTGTTATGAGTTAATTTTTTGCCATCAAAATATCCATATTTTTACAAAGGTAATAAGCTCTGGTCCTGGATAACACTACTAGCTTAAAATTTAGGTTTTCAAAGTATTTCTCTGAGCTTCCTATAACGGGTTACGGTATGTTTTAGAGTCTCTGTACTCCAGTTAACGATCGATCGATTACTAAATTTGTTAACGATCTTTTCAGCCGTAGTGTCGTCTAACCAGGAGGATCCGTTCTCCGTCATTCAGGCGGGTTTGGGGTGTTCCTGCCTTCCAGCCGTTCCCATAAAGAAAACATCCGTTCAGTTTCAGCCTTTTCTTTGATTTTTAAAGGTGAACATGTTTGTTTTTTCCTCCTTAAGGACTTAACTGAATCTGACCCTGAGCCGTCTGCTATTGAGAGGCTGGGGGCCGAACCTGGTTCAGGATTCAAATGGGAAAGCAGTGTAGGTGAACCCCTCCCTGCCCCCCCCCTGCTATCAGCCTGCCCTGCCTTGCTGTCTTTCTACCTGACCTTAACCCTAACTTTGGCTTCAAATCACCGACTGCAGACCTTTCCCTTCTGACCTTTGACCGCTGATGCTGTTTGCTGGGTGTCTGTGCTGTGAGACGGTCAGTGAACGGCCGGATGGTTTTTAGAACATTTGGCCTGAAATGAACCGTCCTGATTGGTTTAATATGAGGAAAAAAGAAGCACAATGTGAGAGCGGGGACATGGGTCCAGTTTCCCCCACTGAAGCTCTGGAGCAGACGGCTTCTGAAGTTGTGGGCCGCTGTAGGAACCAGATCTGCTCGGGTCCTGCTTCATGCCAGAGACGTTACGCTACGAGTGGCTGAACGTTGCCACATGATGTAAAACACTGTGGTTACCCTGAAAACGATAACAATGCAGCGTCTGCGGGTCGAGTTAAAAGCAACTGTAGCGTTAGCGTGTCTAATAACGGATGAAGTTTTACCTGATTGAAAACAAAGCTGAAAAAAATCTGTTAACGTGAACAAAGATATGATGATATAGAGGTAGGTAGCGCTGTGGCAAGCTGTGCTCAGTAGATGGATCATTATTTATACCTAAAACTAATACGTTCGTGGTAATTGAATTAATTTAACATTAATCTATAATTTTCGTCGTGATCATTGAGTCTGGGAGCGGCCATTTTTTCCCAAATATAGTAGCCCCTCCCTCCTGCCATCTTCCAGCAGTGACGTCACCGTGCGGTTAGCCTAGCGCCATTCTCCCCGCTTTGCAAGCTAAATCAATGGGAACTACTAGACACATCTGCAATCAACAACAATTAGTGAAGATTTCCAGAGGACTTCACCATTGAAATTCACCAGAGCTATAGTGAAACTGACAATGCCCACGTGCATGGCAGCTGGATGCTGGAATACATCGGGGAAAAGTGGAAAAAAAGAGTTATTTCAGAAGTTTTAATTCTGAATGTGAGCGACTTTTCCTTTAAAGCTACAGTGTGTAATAATTACAGGGATATACAGTCATAAATGTAATATATTATACATAACTGTTATTTATCATCATCTACGAGCTCAGCCTCTTAACCTTAATATTTGCGTCGCCTTAGAATTTGTTATTTATAATTACATAGGAGCGGGTCTCGCAGCCATGGAGGCAGACATTTTTGCGCTACGGCAGCGCAGAGCCAACAAACTAGCGATTGCCAGATCGCCAATTACGCTCGAAAATAACTACGGCAAGTTGAGAGAGATGAACTGAGACGGTACTGAACAGTAGATGACAGTATTAAAATTATCTATGTAAACAAACCTCATCACTTGAGAAGGTAGGTGATGCGGACGTTGTGGAAGACATTTTGTCCCGTAACGCTCGCCGTACTGTTGGGGGGGAGAAGCGGTGGGGGGGAGATGTTCATGTTGCTGTGGTCTGCAGTCTGGACGTTAGATGTCGCTGAAAATTACACACTGTAGCTTTAAATACCAACAGGCTATAAGGAAATTTAGTTCTTCTAACTCTGTCAACAGCAAGTAGAATAACTGTTTTTGTCTAAAATCTTTGAAAATCATTTTTAGATGTTCCATTTGTCTTCGTCTGCTCTCAGAAGGTAATAAAAAAAACTTTTTTTGTCACCTTGTTAAATAGCAGAGCTCAGTCCGTCTTAGAAGGCAGGACTTTCATTCAACACTATAATTGTTTTTTATTTTCAGCTACTTAGACTTTAGATCTACTTTAGATCGCCAATGAAACATAAAATATGGGCAAATATGGAGAACAATATGTAAAGACTCCAGAAGCGATCTGATTCTTAAGAAGCTGGTGCAATACAGTTTGTGTGAATGTCGTTGCAATAATATGATGTGACAAGAAAGTGCAGGGCCCCGAGCAGATCTGGTACCTACAGCGTCTCAGTGCTGAGCTGATGCTGGAGCACAATATGGCTTTTTCCTCCTGAACTAAAGCATCCATTTCCCCTCACTGGAGGACATTGGCAGCCCCGCAAAACTCATCTAAAAATAAACCATTAAATGAAATTAGGGCATTAAATAAACTGTGGATTTGATTCCCTTTGGAGCAGGTTGGTAAATATGGAAGCAAATCGTTGCCATATTTCAAATGAAAAAGCATTTTCAGAAATGCTTTTTCATTTTAATAATTTGGCTGCATTATTTGACTCATAAATAAAATTAGTAATCAATCATCCTATTTGCATTTTCATTTTCTTCTTTAACACCGCTCATCCTTTTACTTAATTAAAATGAAAAAGAAAAAGATATTTGAGATTTATTTTTCAAAATGTACCCCAGCAAATACAAACCAAAATTCTATTTGAAATGTAAAATTTGAAAATGAAAATGCAAATGCAAATAGGATTGATGACTAATTTAATGAGTCAAACAATGCAGCTACATTCTTAAAATGAAAAAGCATTTCTGGGTTTAGTTTTCTAGAAATGCTTTTTCATTTGAAATATGATAACGATTTGCCTCCGTAGGTGAAATGATCTGCATCAAACACCAAAAAGACCTGACATAATAGAAACAGCCTTTCATTAGAATAATGCAGCGAACAGAAACTGTAAACTATTTTAACATATGATGCAGATTTCCTCTGGTTCTGATCTGATTGGGACCCAAACAGGAAGTGGTTCTAGTTGACCTGCTGGACGCTGATTGGAACCGGGGTCTCAGTTTTTACACACACGGAGCTCCGCCTCTCAGCTGCCGTTTGCCTTTTCTCCTGAATCCCTTTCAAAATATATTGGTATGAAAATCTGACCAATCAGGACGTTAAGATTTAATCCGACATGTTTTCACTGATTGAACCGTTTGGGGTTTTTGTGTCTCTGCTCGACTGTTCTGGGTTCATAGAAACACTTTCCCACTGAGATCTCTCTCCTTACAGCCCGTCAAGGATGACCCACATTTCCATCACTTCCTGCTTAGCCAGTCTGAAAAGGTAAGAATTTTCCTTTTTTTTTTTTACTTTGCCTTATAAGAAGTATTCACACCCTTCTGCCTGAGCTCTTTAGTTGGGCTTTAACAGAACAAATATATAAAAGATGAAGCTTTTGTCCAACCATCCCATTACTCTGCAGAGCTTTGCTCTGATCACATATTTCCATTTTCATAATCCTAACCCTGCTGTCGTAGTGAGGACCGACTCCCTTCCTTTGGGTTTCAGTCACCTTCTTCCCTTTCTCTGGCCTGACTGACAGTAACCTAAAGCTACCGTCTACCACCCAACCTGAACCTAAACTTAAGGCCTGAACACACCGGCTGCCTCTGACTTTCTAATCTCTGATTCTGATTTTCTTCCATGTCACACTGACTGCGTATAGAGAGGCTCTGACCAGCCAGGATGGGCAGATCTGTGCAGATCTTTTTTATATTCCATCTCTATGCTACACAGATTAAAACAATGACTTGGACTGATGATGAAAAGTTTTTAAAAATAAATAAGCCATCAGAGTATTCTATAAAATAAAGCTCTACCTAACGAGTCTGTCCTGCGTCTCAAACCAGAACATATAGAGAATGTTCATAGATTAAAAACATGAGATTTCTATTCAGTTTATTTCTATAGCTCCAATTCACATCATGTCATCTCAGGGCACTTTATAGAGATAATTCAACCAGATCATCCAGTCAGATTGATTCACAGTTTTCTATCTAAGGAAAACCAGCTGATTGCATCGACTCATTGACTCTTCAGCAATCCCTCACACTAAGCATGCTTGTAGCGACAGTGGAGAGGAAAAACTCCCTTTGAACAGGAAGAAACCTCCAGCAGAACCAGGCTCAGTGTGAGCGGCCATCTGCTGAGGCCCACTGGGGTTCAAGGAGACAGAAGCAGACATAGAAAAGTTGCAGTAACGCTAATAAACATTAGCTTGCCTGTAGTAATCCCAGACACGGCGCCGTCCTCTCTGATGAGGCGGAGTCTGGTGGTTGATACTTTTATTCACTCCGCTCCGGCTTTGCACTGCCGACAAACTGCTGAGAAGAGGATGGTGGCGCCGGCTGCGGTCCGCTCTTCTTGTAGTCAAACACCGAGCAACTTTCCTCTCTTAAATTGATCCCGCGCACGATATATTGCATTGCGCACTATTGGCATAGTGAAGCCACACTTTCGACCTGGTTGGCTTTTTAAAGGGGTTCCACGACGCTCACAACCAGTACACAACAGATACACATGAACCCTGGCGTTAGGCGTGACCACCTATGTATTTTTCCTGGATGACGCAATCACGTTAAATGTTACCAATCACCGAAACTTGGCACTAAAGGGAGAGGCATGCTTTGATACTACTACTTTTGATAAAACCGAAGCGTTTCGGTTGGTACCATAAAAGAGCCGATGTTCGGTACCCAGCCCTAGATGTGGAACAGCTGTCATTGTTTAACATGACAGACAAGTAGGCCGCACGATGTACATAAGCGGGGTGCTGACTAGGGTTGTCACGATACTAAACTTTTCAACTCCATACCAATACTAAGGAAAATATTCGATACTCGATACCATTTTCGATACGACGAGGATAAAAACAAAGACTCCAAAATTCTACAGAAATATTCTCATTAATAAATAAATACAATAAAGGTTGTATGCTGTGCACAATATTAAGCAAGCTTGATATAAAACTAAAATTAAGTGTTCCTTCCATGGCTATGCTTTGCAAACATAACAGTAACACTAGCCAAACCGGTCAGCTGCACCTCTTACAGAAAAAAACTCTGAAACTGAAAAGTGCGTAGAATTATTCAATCACACAGTGTTCTGAAAGTGCATTTTCCTCTATTCTGCACTTTAGATGAATGACTGCTTAGGTGCCACTGGTGGAAGCGCTGTATCCATACTTTTGAAAACGAGTATTGTATCCGGATACAACGTTTCAGTATCGATACTTTTTCAGTATCGATACTTTTGACAACCCTAGTGCTGACGGAGGATGTGGAATTTGGGGGTCACTGCATTTCCCCCCCACGGTATACCTCACATGACTAAGAACCCACGTTTAAAGCGGGTTTAGTTTTCTTCCAAAGGCAACAGTGTAACTGGGTTTTAATGTAGGGCTATCTGAGTAAAGGTTCTGAATACCAGTGCCAGCCCCGTCATTTAGCGTAACATTCTGCCCTGTTAGCCGCTGAATCAAAGAGAGTTGAAGTTCATCCCAAATGCTCCTGAGGAGGCTGTTCCACATCATTCTATAAAATCCAAAGATCAGAGCGAACTTTGACACCTTTACTCCACAAGGAGCCGTTCTACATGAACATATGAACAGCTCTGTTTTGTTTTTTTTCCCCACAGCCAGCGTCATCCATGGAGCCCATCAGCAAGCGTCTGAAAATCATCGAAGAGGTAAAGGACGTGTTGAATTTCCCACAGGAAGTAAGTGGAGCTCTTCTTTACTGCGGTATTGACGAGTGCTTTCATGGCGCAGGTCACAGGTTCCACTTCTATCCAAGCAGCAGACAGTACAGCCATCAACGGCAGCATCACGCCCACAGATAAAAGGTTCGCTCTCATTTTCAGACCGCTTCCACACCTGCTCCGTACGGTTTATATCAACCATGGTCTCACCCTGCAGGATAGGCTTCCTGGGCCTCGGCCTCATGGGCAGCGGCATCGTTTCCAACCTGTTGAAAATGGGCCACGTCGTCACCGTGTGGAATCGCACCGCAGAAAAGGTACGGCTGAAGCCCAAGAGATGCGTCTGCATCTCCTCCTGCTTTTAGATGGACGCAGCAGAATTTAGCAACAACTGGTGAGCAGGCCTGGGTTTGATGTCTGATTGAAAGGAACGGGAGCAGAGATGCACTGGAAATGAAGCCAAAAGCTCAGATTGTTCAGCATCTTTTTACAATTAAAGCTTAGAGTATTTTTTTTCCTTTAGGTTCTAAATGTTAAAGAAATAGATTTCAAAGAAAGCATGCAGAGTAAGATCCGATGTTTTGACTCTTTAAAGTAAATGTTCAATGGCTTAATTTAAAACGGAGATGCAAATTATCGTTTAATAAGCTAAAGAGGACGGATAATAAGCAGCCATTTCTTTAAACACCTGAAGTTTTTTTTTTTTTTTCGTTTTATGGAGATGAGTTTTCATCACATAAAGGATTTATTTATTTTTTTACAATATGCCGAGTTGAAAAATAGTGCATTATTATATTGAGGCAGCTGTTAAAGGTGTGATTGAAGCTAAACAGAGTTTCCATTGTCGTAGTTGAATAACGGTAGTGGGGGAAATGCACTGGCGTAACTTTCTGAAGGACTGCTGTGGACATGTCAACATATACTTTGGGCAATTTCCGCTTTTTTTCCCCCTTTCCGCTGATTTACTTCAGCTAACAGTAACTGGGTGCAGCTAACTGCGTTCAGAGCGTTTTCAGTCTGTGTTTTCCACGCTCTCCTGTCCCTCCTCTCGGTAAAACATCATCAGATCTGTAGCTTTGGGAGATTGACTGCGGACAGAGTCGCTACGATTGAAATGAAATGATACGTTTTTTAAGGTTAACCACGGCACGTCAGATCTGGAGTAGTTAGCGTTAGCTGGCAAACAGCCTAGCATGGCTAATGTTAACTTCTAAGAATGTGGGTAAATGGTCAAATGTATTTTGATGGTCCAGTAAAATGTTTAGAGCAGGATTTGGTACGAAGTGCTGAATGGACCCGTCTGATCCTGATCCGTCCTCTGCTGTGCTTCAGTGCGACCTGTTCATCCAGGAGGGGGCCAGGTTAGGCCGGACCCCTGCAGAGGTGGCCTCCATGTGTGACATCACCTTCTCATGTGTGTCAGACCCCAAAGCTGCCAGGGATGTGAGTATCTCTCTGAGGCTTTGAGAGGATGTGTAGCACGCAGTACTAGGGCCAGGCTAGAGAAATACCAGGATAAAGTCATTATGAGAATAATGTAACTTTATAAAGTCATTATGAGAATAATGTAACTTTATTAAGTCATTATGAGAATAATGTAACTTTATTAAGTCATTATGAGAATAATGTAACTTTATTAAGTCATTATGAGAATAAAGTAACTTTAAGTCATTGTGAGAATAATGTAACTTTATTAAGTCATTATGAGAATAATGTAACTTTATAAAGTCATTATGAGAATAATGTAACTTTATTAAGTCATTATGAGAATAATGTAACTTTATTAAGTCATTATGAGAATAATGTAACTTTATTAAGTCATTATGAGAATAAAGTAACTTTATTAAGTCATTATGAGAATAATGTAACTTTATAAAGTCATTATGAGAATAATGTAACTTTATTAAGTCATTATGAGAATAATGTAACTTTATTAAGTCATTATGAGAATAATGTAACTTTATTAAGTCATTATGAGAATAAAGTAACTTTAAGTCATTGTGAGAATAATGTAACTTTATTAAGTCATTATGAGAATAATGACTTTATAAAGTCATTATGAGAATAATGTAACTTTATAAAGTCATTATGAGAATAATGTAACTTTATAAAGTCATTATGAGAATAATGACTTTATAAAGTCATTATGAGAATAATGTAACTTTATAAAGTCATTATGAGAATAATGTAACTTTATAAAGTCATTATGAGAATAATGTAACTTTATAAAGTCATTATGAGAATAATGTAACTTTATTAAGTCATTATGAGAATAATGTAACTTTATTAAGTCATTATGAGAATAATGTAACTTTATTAAGTCATTATGAGAATAATGTAACTTTATTAAGTCATTATGAGAATAATGTAACTTTATTAAGTCATTATGAGAATAATGTAACTTTATTAAGTCATTATGAGAATAATGACTTTATAAAGTCATTATGAGAATAATGTAACTTTATTAAGTCATTATGAGAATAATGTAACTTTATTAAGTCATTATGAGAATAATGTAACTTTATAAAGTCATTATGAGAATAATGTAACTTTATTAAGTCATTATGAGAATAATGTAACTTTATTAAGTCATTATGAGAATAATGACTTTATAAAGTCATTATGAGAATAATGTAACTTTATAAAGTCATTATGAGAATAATGTAACTTTATTAAGTCATTATGAGAATAATGACTTTATAAAGTCATTATGAGAATAATGTAACTTTATAAAGTCATTATGAGAATAATGTAACTTTATTAAGTCATTATGAGAATAATGTAACTTTATTAAGTCATTATGAGAATAATGTAACTTTATTAAGTCATTATGAGAATAATGTAACTTTATTAAGTCATTATGAGAATAATGTAACTTTATTAAGTCATTATGAGAATAATGTAACTTTATAAAGTCATTATGAGAATAATGTAACTTTATTAAGTCATTATGAGAATAATGTAACTTTATAAAGTCATTATGAGAATAATGTAACTTTATTGAGTCATTATGAGAATAAAGTAACTTTAAGTCATTGTGAGAATAATGTAACTTTATTAAGTCATTATGAGAATAATGACTTTATAAAGTCATTATGAGAATAATGTAACTTTATAAAGTCATTATGAGAATAATGTAACTTTATAAAGTCATTATGAGAATAATGACTTTATAAAGTCATTATGAGAATAATGTAACTTTATAAAGTCATTATGAGAATAATGTAACTTTATAAAGTCATTATGAGAATAATGTAACTTTATAAAGTCATTATGAGAATAATGTAACTTTATTAAGTCATTATGAGAATAATGTAACTTTATTAAGTCATTATGAGAATAATGTAACTTTATTAAGTCATTATGAGAATAATGTAACTTTATTAAGTCATTATGAGAATAATGTAACTTTATTAAGTCATTATGAGAATAATGTAACTTTATTAAGTCATTATGAGAATAATGACTTTATAAAGTCATTATGAGAATAATGTAACTTTATAAAGTCATTATGAGAATAATGTAACTTTATTAAGTCATTATGAGAATAATGACTTTATAAAGTCATTATGAGAATAATGTAACTTTATAAAGTCATTATGAGAATAATGTAACTTTATAAAGTCATTATGAGAATAATGTAACTTTATTAAGTCATTATGAGAATAATGTAACTTTATTAAGTCATTATGAGAATAATGTAACTTTATTAAGTCATTATGAGAATAATGTAACTTTATTAAGTCATTATGAGAATAATGTAACTTTATTGAGTCATTATGAGAATAATGTAACTTTAAGTCATTATGAGAATAATGTAACTTTATTAAGTCATTATGAGAATAATGTAACTTTATTAAGTCATTATGAGAATAATGACTTTATAAAGTCATTATGAGAATAATGTAACTTTATAAAGTCATTATGAGAATAATGTAACTTTATTAAGTCATTATGAGAATAATGACTTTATAAAGTCATTATGAGAATAATGTAACTTTATAAAGTCATTATGAGAATAATGTAACTTTATTAAGTCATTATGAGAATAATGTAACTTTATTAAGTCATTATGAGAATAATGTAACTTTATAAAGTCATTATGAGAATAATGTAACTTTATTAAGTCATTATGAGAATAATGTAACTTTATTAAGTCATTATGAGAATAATGTAACTTTATAAAGTCATTATGAGAATAAAGTAACTTTATTAAGTCATTATGAGAATAAAGTAACTTTATTAAGTCATTATGAGAATAATGTAACTTTATTAAGTCATTATGAGAATAATGTAACTTTAAGTCATTATGAGAATAAAGTAACTTTATTAAGTCATTATGAGAATAATGTAACTTTATTAAGTCATAATGAGAATAATGTAACTTTATTAAGTCATTATGAGAATAATGTAACTTTATTAAGTCATTATGAGAATAATGTAACTTTATTAAGTCATTATGAGAATAAAGTAACTTTATTAAGTCATTATGAGAATAATGTAACTTTATTAAGTCATTATGAGAATAATGTAACTTTATTAAGTCATTATGAGAATAATGTAACTTTAAGTCATTATGAGAATAAAGTAACTTTATTAAGTCATTATGAGAATAATGTAACTTTATTAAGTCATTATGAGAATAATGTAACTTTATTAAGTCATAATGAGAATAATGTAACTTTATTAAGTCATTATGAGAATAATGTAACTTTATTAAGTCATTATGAGAATAAAGTAACTTTTTTAAGTCATTATGAGAATAAAGTAACTTTATTAAGTCATTATGAGAATAAAGTAACTTTATTAAGTCATTATGAGAATAAAGTAACTTTATTAAGTCATTATGAGAATAATGTAACTTTATTAAGTCATTATGAGAATAATGTAACTTTATTAAGTCATTATGAGAATAAAGTAACTTTTTTAAGTCATTATGAGAATAAAGTAACTTTATTAAGTCATTATGAGAATAAAGTAACTTTATTAAGTCATTATGAGAATAAAGTAACTTTATTAAGTCATTATGAGAATAATGTAACTTTATTAAGTCATTATGAGAATAATGTAACTTTATTAAGTCATTATGAGAATAAAGTAACTTTTTTAAGTCATAATGAGAATAATGTAACTTTATTAAGTCATAATGAGAATAATGTAACTTTATTAAGTCATTATGAGAATAATGTAACTTTATTAAGTCATTATGAGAATAAAGTAACTTTATTAAGTCATTATGAGAATAAAGTAACTTTATTAAGTCATTATGAGAATAAAGTAACTTTATTAAGTCATTATGAGAATAAAGTAACTTTATTAAGTCATTATGAGAATAATGTAACTTTATTAAGTCATTATGAGAATAAAGTAACTTTATTAAGTCATTATGAGAATAAAGTAACTTTATTAAGTCATTATGAGAATAAAGTAACTTTATTAAGTCATTATGAGAATAAAGTAACTTTATTAAGTCATTATGAGAATAATGTAACTTTATAAAGTCATTATGAGAATAAAGTAACTTTATAAAGTCATTATGAGAATAAAGTAACTTTATTACGTCATTATGAGAATAAAGTAACTTTATTACGTCATTATGAGAATAAAGTAACTTTATTAAGTCATAATAATATGAGAATAAAGTTGTAATATTACAAGAATCAGATCGCAGCAATAACAAAGTCTTAAAATTCTGAGAATAATGTTGAAAACTTTCTAGTATGAAGTCCTCATACCACAACCAGTTTTTAGCATGTGCCGATTAGCATCTGTGTATATATATATATATATATATATACACACACACACACATACATCACATTTCCTGATTTGCTATCCGACGCCAAAGTATAACTTCACAAGATGCTCGACATTCTTTATTTTAGGGAAGAAAGTGCTTCTGTTATCATAAAATGCAACTTTATTGTTGTAATATTAAGACTTTATTTTCATAATATTATGAATTTCTCATAAATTCTCTTACATAAGAGAATACTTAACTTTATTTTTGTAATGTTAACATGTTATTCTTTTAATATGATTTTATTCTCATATTATGACTTTATTCTGATAATGTTGTGACTTTATTTTTGTGATATTACGACTTTATTCCCGTAAAATTTACGACTGTATTTTAATAGTATGAATTTATTTCGTAATATGAGGTTATTGTTGTAACATTATTCTCATATTGTTATGACCTTATTCTGGTATTTAACACAGTAAAATCAAATCTAAACTGCGTGTTAGATGTGAAGGTGTGTGATGACTGACTGTCTGATCTGATGCAGCTGGTGTTGGGTCCCAGTGGAGTTCTGCAGGGAATCAGACCAGGCAAATGCTACATAGAGATGTCCACCGTAGATCCAGAAACCATCACAGAGCTGTCCCAGGTAGCATCCCGCCGTCAGAAGCAGTCGGTGTTGCGCCGGGACAGATTTATTCACAGATCTGTTTGGACATCAGGTGATCACGTCGCGGGGGGGGCGATTCCTGGAGGCTCCGGTAGCAGGAAGCCAGCAGCTCTCCAATGATGGGATGCTGGTTATCCTGGCCGCAGGCGACAGGAGTGTCTATGAGGACTGCAGCAGCTGCTTCCAGGCCATGGGCAAGACCTCTTTCTTCCTGGGTAAGCAGGAGTGTGAAGAATGCTGCTGCGAATCATCAGATCAGGTCCTCCCGTGTGGGAGATTAACTGGCCAGGCTGATGCTGGAGCTAAAACCTCGGGGTGTCTCCAGGTGAAGCGGGAAATGCAGCCAGGATGATGCTCATCCTCAACATGGTCCAGGGCAGCTTCATGGCCACCATCGCAGAGGGACTCACCCTGGCTCAGGCCACCGGCCAATCACAGCAGACCTTCCTGGACATCCTGTCCCAGGGCCAGATGGCGAGCACCTTCGTGGACCAGAAGTGTCAGAGTAAGTGTCTGTAAGGCGGCCTCTGCATAAAGTCCAGTTAGCAGCAGCATGAGATGTATTCTGTTTCTCCCAGATATCCTCCAAGGTAACTTCAAACCAGACTACTATTTGAAACACATTCAGAAGGACCTGAGGCTAGCCATCTCCATGGGCGACATGGCCAACCATCCCACTCCAATGGCTGCAGCAGCCAATGAGGTATTTCCTGTTTGCTCTGTTTTCACTAACTCACTTCAAAGCGTGAAGCTTAAACTCATGACAATAAAAAACGGACGAAGCAGAACCAGAACCGGACTGCTGCTCTGTGGTCCAAAGAATCCACGAGCCTTAAAGCGTGTTGGTCGCTGGTTATCCGCTGCTCTGCTCCGATCGCATTGGTCCTCACACAAGTGGAGTATGGGGGGAATTTTGTTCCATTATTGTTGCAAAAACACTTTTTTTTAAAATGGAAATGCTACTAATGCAATCCAGAAATTAACTTAAAATTTTTTTTTAAGAACTATGCTATTTTTTTTTTCTTTCAGATTTTTTTTCTAATTATTTTTATTTGAAATGTTTTTTTCACATTTTTTTACATTTATCATTTTAAATATATATATATATATATATTACTAATATTTCTTTACAGATTTTTTATTTTTTCAAATTATTTTTTTTATCAAATTTATTTATTTTTTTTCAAAATTCTGTTTTGTAGATTGAGTTTTATGTTTAGATCTCTTCTGGGGCGGGACTTCCTCTGGGGTGAGGAGCAAAGGCACGTTTCTATTGGTCTGCCGTTTGCTGATGAAAGTGAGTGTCTGATTGGGCTTGAAGTAGTGCTGTCAATCGATTACATTTTTTTAATCGCGATTAATCGCATCAATGCCTAAGTTAACTCGCGATTAATCGCATTTTAATCACACATTTTTTTTCTGATTGAAAATCATTTAAATACTCTCGATGACATACAAAAAATACATACAGGCTAGGTTTGTGCCAATGTTCTTTTTTTTTTTAAATGAAAACAGGTCACAGATACTGATTTATGCCATAGAAACATATGGCAAGAAGATGGGGAGGCATGTAGCAAAAAATAACAAATATGTAGCCAAAAAAAAGGCCCTGAAAACAGGCTGATGTAAAAGACAGTCTTTACAGTTAATACAGTCTTTTGAACAAAGACAAGCATTTTACCCTACTGCTATAAAATGTAGTACAGTTAACATTAGATGTTAATTAACCAAGATAATAATGAACAATTTTCAATCAATACATCAAAATCAATAGACCGACATCACTAGATGGAGGTAGTCTATGTTCTAGAAAGTTACTTTTCAACGTCTTAACAAAAATGACAACACACACCCACCCACCCACCCACACACACACACGATACTGACCTGTGGCGTACACAGACGGCAAGAGTGCCGTAGCAGATTCCATTTCACCTCAGTAATCTGTTTTCTCAGCGTATTTCAGGTTGCTACTAGTTACCAGACACTAAACTTGTTTGTTGGTGGTGGGGCTTAAAGAAAAGGCACTAGCGCCACCCAGTGTATGAGCGTCTTTTTCCCTTGAGGAGCTCCGCTCTCGAAGCATATGGAAAATTAATAGACTGGGGGAAAATAGCCCCGCCTTCCCGCAGGCTGCAGCGGGATGTACTTGGAAAATTGTACCATAAAACCACATAGCGTTAATCTCACGTTAAAAAAATTATCGCCATTAAAATGGCCTCGCGTTAACGCGATAATAACGCGATAATTTTGACAGCACTAGTTTGAAGGGAAAAGAATCTCATCTGCTAAATTATATTTGAAAAGAAGGCAATTTGAAAAACTGAAATTCAAAAATGTCAATCTTTAAAAAGGAAATTAAAACGGCAAACCTGTATTACAAAAAAAAGAAAAAAAAATGTAATCTGAGAAAAGCAAAGATGTAAAATCTTTTCCTGAATTAAAATGTTTTTAAAAGTTTCTTGTTGGATTTAATTTGTTTCGAATTTCCATTTATCGAATGTCTTCTTTGCAACAATAATGGAACAAATTTGACTCCCTATGAGAGCAGCCGTCCAGCAGGGTGCGTTACTGATTCACGCTGCCTAAGTCTCATCATAGCAACACTAGCAGAATGAGCTGACCTGAACACATGGCTCCCATGGAGCCCTGCAGAAACGCGTCAGTCTGCGCCTCAGCATTGAAGCAGGAGCAGCTGGACCTGATGATAAATTAGCTTCTTTTGTTCGGTGGAGCTCGTTCTTCACTCTCTACCGTCTCTTTGCAGGTTTACAAGAGGGCAAAAGCACTGGACCAGTCAGACAACGACATCTCTGCAGTCTACAGAGCCTACATTCACTAGAGGGAGAGGCCACCCATCCTCTGGACCACGCAGTCTTTAATCATTTCTCTCTTCTGTCATCTAATGAGTTCCTGTTTTAAATTCCAGTGGTTTTTATTTCATATGCCCCAGTGCCAGCCATGTTGTTCCCCCATACTGGCCAGTCTGGGATTTTCTTTGCTTTGTTTTCAACCTGGAGCATTGCACAGACTGCACTGGGAAGGAAGGAAGGAAACTCCTCCGATGGGTTCTGCATCCGTGCTGCGGCGGCGGCGGTCCTGGGTTTGTGTGGCGCAGCAGTCCGCCGTGCGGCAGGAGCTCCGCGCCACACGTCAAGCTAAACCCTTTTATTTTAATTTGCCCATGTGTGCATTTTAAGTGTAATCCTTTCTTTTGACGTTTTTACTGTCAAGAAAAGCGAAACAGAAACCACCAAGAACCACTGCATTGCCTTAAAACTGAACCCCTTCAAGTATTTCTATTTATTTATCTTCCCTCTTGGTCTTCTCGGCGCCGCGTGCTCGTGACCGGAGCGGATGGGGTCTGTGAGGGCGGAGCCACAGCTGTGTAGGGGCCTTAAACTGCGCTAAAAGCTATCACCACCAGAACCTGGGTTTGGGTTTCTGATGGGTTCGGGGAGGGTTTTCCTAGATCCGGGTTTGTTTTGTGTTTTAGAGATGAGTTAATGAAGAAATCCCCACAGTGGAAACGAGTTTAGCAATGAGCTGAAGAAAAAGACGTCTGTGAACTGAAACCTTTAACTGGTGGGACGACCTTTATCTGGCGGTGAATGGACTGCGGACGCGTCGGGCTGCAGGGGTTTGCTTTCACGCCGTGAAGCTAAAGCCGCTTCCTGACCACGTCCCTGCAGACGCGGGAATCAGACGGCGCTTTTCTCCTCACACTCTGAGGAAATCTGAGTTCTGCTTTTAAACGCAGCGTTCTCCACATTCAGCAGGAACTTTTCCTACAGCGGCCAGAAATAAAAGGAAGGGAAATGAATTTGCCTTCAGTAGAAGGTCGACGACTCTGATCTACGTAGAAAGCTTTAGTTTTCATTGGGTTTTACTAGCGGCTCAAATGGCCGCAGAAAGGCATTTTATTAAAAAAAATATTTACTTTTGCTGCAAAGAAAAACTCAACTTTTGACTCCAGCTTATTTAGGGAGAAAAAAAACAATTTTTCAGTCACCAATGATTAATAAATAAGCAGCAATTTCCTTTAAAACCTGAGTTTGTATCTTCTATCAATGAGTTTCATCACATGAAGGGCTAAAGATTTATTTTTTAAACCAAACAGGTTTTTTGACAAATTGAACAAATTAATTTCCAGAGAAATTTGGCGTAATTCCCTTTTTGCAGAGTTCTGCTGCTCCTCCGTTGAGCTGAACCGAAGGAGTTTATCCAGAGTTTCTGTTTGACATTAAAGTTCGATTATCATCTTTATTCATTCTAATGAAACAAATGCATTTTTATTTTTTAAGTTTCTAGTCTCTCCAAACATTTCATGCCTCTGTTTGCTGGGTGATTGTTGCCTTTATAGCAGAACATTTAGGTGACGCCCCCCTGCAGGTGCTGCATGCTGGCTGAGAGCTGCTGCTCATGTGGAGTTTGCTGCAGCTCCATCAGTGAATGATGCTGAGGTCGGAGTCACGACGCCGCTCGTTCCCGAACACGGAGACTGCTGACCTTTCAGTCTGTCGGTCTGTACCAGATGAGACACCCCAGTGTTTTTCTTCTTTTTCACTAGTTGGAAGGAATCGATTTCTTTACAAATTAAACACTTTTTTTTCCTCTTTCTTTTTATGAAAGTGTTTTATTTTGAAAAGCTTCCTGTTTGCCACGGTAAAGTTTTTAGGTTTATTTTCCAGACACTTGAGGTGTTTTTAGAAGAACGTTGTAAATAGCACATGAAGTAGGGTTCCTTTTGTATCGCCAAGAAGCAAAATTAACGACGACTCCGTTTAGTTTGGACTCTGCAGAGCGACCGACGTCTCTCTGGTGACGCTGTAGATGGATTTCGTTCGACTGTAAATGGTTTATAAATACGCGGCTCCCACAGTCCGACTCATTGCATCGAACTCATGAGGATTCGGATCCCGTCAGTAGAGAGGAAGCAACTTTGGTTTTGGGGTTTATTTATGATTTTGTGTACATGTAGAAATACCCAGAATTTTGTGCTGTTTAATAAATCCTCTCCTGATTACTGACATGATTTCCTGCCATCTCTGTTTGCATGCTTCATCCCTGTGGTGCTGAAAAAGATGTACTGCACAGATGGGGAACGGCAGAAGGGCCGACGTCCTCTGATGGTCCCTCATCTGTGCTTTAGATCTGCTGCCATTTCAGGGTTCATGATCCAGTGGAAGCAAAGGTGTCGGCGCCTGATGGTGGCGGTAACGACGGTCTCAGTTGGTCTGCACCACCTGCAGAGGAACCCGTCTGCCAGGGAGGAAAGGTTTAGTCTATTCTACACATTACAAAGCAAGAAATATAAATGTTTCGACTCATTTCAAAACAAGCATGAGGGATTGCTGAAGAGTCCATGAGTCGATGCAATCAGCTGGTTTTCCTTAGATAGAAAACTTTGAATCAATCTGACTGGATGATCTGGTGAACTGGAAAGTGACCCGAGATGACATGATGTGAATTGGAGCTATAGAAATAAACTGAATAGAATTTCATGAAGTGGAAATCATAGATCATTGATGCATAGAGTGGATTATTAGAAGTCTTTGTTTGTATTTTAATGATTCTGGTTTCAGACACTAAAACACAAATTCAGCGTCTCAAAAACTATAATATTACAACAAATAATCTGTGGTGGAAAGTAACAAAGTGCATTTACTTTATTACTGTACTTAAGTACTTATTTGAGTTTCTTTTTTTTGAGTTTTTTTTTTTTTTGGGAAGCTTCCATTTCCAGATATTAGTAGTTTATCATTTCATTAAGGCGTTAGTTGTTGTCATGAGGCCAAGTTGTTCAGTAGGATGAGTCTCGGATCGGAGTTTGGCTCTGTTCTAAAACCTGAACTGGATCCTCCAAGGACGCGGTCTACCTAGACTGGATCCTCCAAGGACGCGGTCTACCTAGACTGGATCCTCCAAGGACGCGGTCTACCTAGACTGGATCCTCCAAGGACGCGGCCTACCTAGACTGGATCCTCCAAGGACGCGGTCTACCTGGACTGGAACCTCCAAGGACGAGGTCTACCTAGACTGGAACCTCCAAGGACGCGGTCTACCTAGACTGGAACCTCCAAGGACGCGGTCTACCTGGACTGGAACCTCCAAGGACGAGGTCTACCTAGACTGGAACCTCCAAGGACGCGGCCTACCTAGACTGGATCCTCCAAGGACGCGGTCTACCTGGACTGGATCCTCCAAGGACGAGGTCTACCTAGACTGGAACCTCCAAGGACGCGGTCTACCTAGACTGGATCCTCCCAGGACGCGGTCTACCTAGACTGGATCCTCCAAAGACGCGGTCTACCTAGACTGGATCCTCCAAAGACGCGGTCTACCTAGACTGGATCCTCCCAGGACGCGGTCTACCTAGACTGGATCCTCCCAGGACGCGGTCTACCTAGACTGGATCCTCCAAAGACGCGGTCTACCTAGACTGGATCCTCCAAAGACGCGGTCTACCTAGACTGGATCCTCCCAGGACGCGGTCTACCTAGACTGGATCCTCCAAAGACGCGGTCTACCTAGACTGGATCCTCCCAGGACGCGGTCTACCTAGACTGGATCCTCCAAGGACGCGGTCTACCTAGACTGGATCCTCCAAGGACGCGGTCTACCTAGACTGGATCCTCCCAGGACGCGGTCTACCTAGACTGGATCCTCCAAAGACGCGGTCTACCTAGACTGGATCCTCCAAAGACGCGGTCTACCTAGACTGGATCCTCCAAAGACGCGGTCTACCCGGACTGGAACCTCCAAGGACGCGGCCTACCCGGACTGGATCCTCCAAGGACGCGGCCTACCCGGACTGGATCCTCCAAGGACGCGGCCTACCCGGACTGGAACCTCCAAGGACGCGGTCTACCTAGACTGGAACCTCCAAGGACGCGGTCTACCTAGACTGGATCCTCCAAGGACGCGGTCTACCTAGACTGGATCCTCCAAAGATGCGGTCTACCTAGACTGGATCCTCCAAAGATGCGGTCTACCTAGACTGGATCCTCCAAAGACGCGGTCTACCAAGACTGGAACTCCAAGGACGCGGCCTACCCGGACTGGATCCTCCAAGACGCGGTCCTACCCGGACTGGATCCTCCAAGGACGCGGCCTACCCCGGACTGGAACTCCAAGGACGCGGCCTACCCGGACTGGAACCTCCAAGGACGCGGCCTACCCGGACTGGAACCTCCAAGGACGCGGTCTACCCGGACTGGATCCTCCAAAGACGCGGTCTACCTAGACTGGAACCTCCAAGGACGCGGTCTACCTAGACTGGATCCTCCAAGGACGCGGTCTACCTAGACTGGATCCTCCAAGGACGCGGTTTACCTAGACTGGATCCTCCAAAGATGCGGTCTACCTAGACTGGATCCTCCAAAGACGCGGTCTACCTAGACTGGAACCTCCAAGGACGCGGTCTACCTAGACTGGATCCTCCAAGGACGCGGTTTACCTAGACTGGATCCTCCAAGGACGCGGTTTACCTAGACTGGATCCTCCAAAGATGCGGTCTACCTAGACTGGATCCTCCAAAGACGCGGCCTACCCGGGCTGGATCCTCCCAGGACGCGGCCTACCCGGGCTGGATCCTCCCAGGACGCGGCCCACCCGGGCTGGATCCTCCCAGGACGCGGCCCACCCGGGCTGGATCCTCCCAGGAGGCGGCCCACCCGGGCTGGATCCTCCCAGGAGGCGGCCCACCCGGGCTGGATCCTCCCAGGAGGCGGCCCACCCGGGCTGGATCCTCCCAGGAGGCGGCCCACCCGGGCTGGATCCTCCCAGGAGGCGGCCCACCCGGGCTGGATCCTCCCAGGAGGCGGCCCACCCGGGCTGGATCCTTCGAAGTCCTTGAAAATAAGGAGACCGGAAGAGTTTTGGCTGTAAATTCGAACAGGTCTACCCTTCTGCGGATTTTACCGCTGTAAGCTCTGTTGCTTAGCAACCGTTACAGTTGACACAAAAAGCAGGAAAAGAATGAATACCGAAGTTTTCAAAACTGTTTATTTTTTATTGAGTTGAATAAAGGTTCCATCCACTGGGACCATGAACAAATCAAATCAAATGTAATGATAGAAACCTTAGTCAGTTAAATAACCTGCTGCTGTCATTCTGCACATCTCTGATGTTGCTGCTATTTTCAAATATCCAATACTGTAAAAATGTCCATAGATGCATATTGGTTATTTATTCTCCAGTTTTATATTGTTAAAACACTTTACAGGATTTTATTGTTTATATTTTAACTCTTCCCTATTATGTTATTCTTATACATTTCTCTAAGGTCCTCATCTGTGTGACCATTTTCAATAATCTTTCTGCTGCTGTAAATTTGCCCATTGTGGGACAATAAAGGGATTTTCTATTCTATAAAAGGGGTAGAAAGATATAAGTAAATCTAAACAATGTATGTATTAAAAAATATATCTGCAAAATGTCTAATATTCCACAAAAAAATATCTTTAAGCAAATTGTGCAAAACAGCAATAAAAAGTTAAAACTATCAGATTTATAGTCCCCACCCTGCAGATATATTAGAATCTGTCCTTAAATTATAGTCAAACCCATTTTCACAGTAACAGATAAAACCTTTAGATAAACCAAACATTACCGCCACATATCTGACTCTATAACCATTAAAACAAATATTTTCATTCATCTCAGACGGAACTATTCACAGACTGGATTATATTAAACTGAACTTCCAATTTTCACCACTGTTCGGCGCCAAGTAACCTTTCCTCTGATCACGGCTTGCTTGGTCTCGCAATGAATCCTGGGATATCCAAGGATAGCGAGGATACATCGGACCCGTCCTTCAAATCAGGGCAGAAAGAAGGACGCATTTTAAGGCCGCATAACGAGGACTCTTGGAATCCGACCAGACCTCGGCGCCGCGCTATGACGTAATCAGCCTTCGAATCTGACCTTCTAAAGACGCAGCCCAGGATTTCAGAGTTCTAGTTTCTCTATAGTCATAGATTCAACCTTTAACCTCTATTCTATTGTGAAAGAATGAGATAAATCAAGACTACTGTTTTGTTTTTGTTTTTTTGGTTTGTTTTTAAATAAATCAAAATATCTGTCCAGTAGAAAAAGTCAGTAAAGTAGATTAGAGTACAAAACATAAAGGGGGAAAAAACCAACAAAACCTTCTCTATCTGTAGAATGAGTCTGTTTAATGTCTTCTCATTTCAGAGGGCCCCCTGCCTGTCTCTGCCTAGGGCCCCAAATTTCCTAAATCCGCCCCTGTCTGCAGTTACATCAAAAATGCACCACTTTCATTTAACCAGTTAGTTTTTAGATGTAATAATTTTCTTGTGTTGTCGGTTATTTAAAGTATAATCTGCTATTTGCTTTTATTTCCTCTTTAAGTCCATTCTGATACGCATCAAAACTTCAAAACCAACATCCAGTCAACCACAGCAGAAGGTAGTGAGGAACAATACAAGTTCAACAAATACCATATCAACAAATTGCATTGCTTTAAAAGACGAAACAAAGAGGAAGAAAAACCTTTGGTTTGTTGTGAAGACCTCTGCATGATGGCCCCTCATGTTTGGGGCCGTTCCGGTTCAACCCTTTGCACATGGGATGACGTCAAATCTATGTTGAAACCATTTAAAAAGTGGCTTGTCACCTCAGGCAGTGTTTACCCATTCCTGCTGACCAGCATGGATCTTCTTATGACATCATGCAGGGGCGGAGCTAGATGGCGGGCCAGGGGGGGCATGGCCACCCTTAACCAATCATTGGCCACCCCTACCATTTGTTTCCCTCTAATACAGACGGTGGCAGCAGTAATACTCTCAAGTTGCACATTCAAACTTATATTAACAATTAATTCTATTCAGTTTATTTCTATAGCTCCAATTCACATCATGTCATCTCAGGTCACTTTCCAGTTCACCAGATCGTCCAGTCAGATTGATTCAAAGTTTTCTATCTAAGGAAAACCAGCTGATTGAATCGACTCATTGACTCTTCAGCAATCCCTCACACTAAGCATGCTTGTAGCGACAGTGGAGAGGAAAAACTCCCTTTGAACAGGAAGAAACCTCCAGCAGAACCAGGCTCAGTGTGAGCGGCCATCTGCTGAGGCCCACTGGGGTTCAAGGAGACAGAAGCAGACATAGAAAAAGAAGCATAGATACAAAAGGCAACTGTCAACCAGCTCCACAGGCGGCCCCGTCCAGGAAACACACAGCCAGGCAGACGAGCTCCGAGCCAGCTCCCATGTCAGAGGATGAAGAGAGCACATCCAGTTAGTCACAGTCAGAGAAAAAGCAGAGAGAGCAGAACTTTAGAGACTGAACTAACAGATTCTGCAGAGTGGGAGAATAGAGATAGAATGATGAAAAAGGGGTCCCTATGTCCTCCAGCAGTCTAAGCCTATAGCAGCAGAACTATAGAGATAGCTCAGGATTATAATTGACAACTATAATGCTGTGATTAATTATGCACATCACAATACCAACATTGAAGTTGATTAATACAGAATTTATGCTCTTTTCAGAACTAGATTTTGTGTTATATGAGGTAGAGAGAAAATGATGTCTCTGCAAGTCATCTAGGAGTCTTCAGTGAAATCAAAGATAAATAACTATTAACTTACAAATCCAGATATTAGTACATGTAAATATTAATTTTATGCAGCACAATTTTTGATAAAGTAGGTAGGTAATGAAAATGGAAAGATTTTCGCCCCAGAATTGTGTCCACTATAGCTCTAATTTAGACAGCATGGATGTTTAAATATATTCGTCTATTTGTTAGCAAAGTCTTTAGGAAAGTAAAGTTAGTGTTTATTTAGAAAACATGGATGTTTTGCTCGTTCCTGTTGGAACCCTGAGGTTCTGGAACCCGATCCGCTTTCAGCTTTCAGTGTGCATTGGTTACTGCCCGGACACCCTGATTCCAACTGGCCTTAAAACACAGAGCACACCTGGAAGGGTTTTTATTTCCTTATCTGAACCTCCTCTGCTCAGATGGTCACCTAAAGCAGAACCACTGGAAAGTTTTTATTGCAGGAGAACTCTTCCATCTGCTACAGAATGTCTAAATATGCAGTAAAAACGAGGCAGAGGTGGAGATAAGAGGATCAGCAGCACTGAGTGGCTGAATTGTTGATTCTGCAAACAGAAGCTGGATCCCTGCTCTCCATTGATCCTCTGATAAACTTAAATGACTCACCTGAACTCTGCCTGCTGGGGTCTATGTGGGCGCGCGGGAAGGCGGGGTTCACCAAATAAGGCCTGGTGGGTGGGGCCATTTTAATAGCAAGCGTGTGACCTGTATAATGATGCGCTTAAAGAGTCTCGTAAAAAGCAGCGTCATTTTTTTGTTTGTTATTAAGTGACATTTAGGTTAGAAATTCACCAATCAGCACGATGCAATTTAAATACTGAGATAATTTTTTTATGATCACCTGCAGACTGAAACAACTGGTTTCTTTACACATCCTGTTTTTGGTAGTAAATAAAGTAATTCTACATTTGTTTCAATGAAAGCTAATTTAGTTTGACTTGGCGCTGATCTTTGAACAGGTTCACCCATAGAACAGCCCCATTCTCCAGATAGAGAAATGTTAATAGAATAGACATCCATTATCTGTTCTAGGTTGTGTCCCTCTCTTCTTGTCCCTTTTCTTCTTGTTTTCCTCTCTATGTTTTGTACTCAGCTGACTTTTCATGCTGTCTCTAAAGGAATGAAAGATTTTTTCCAAGCACTAAGCTCACTTAGCTGATTGCTCCTTCCTGTGTTTCCAAAAAGGCCAAAGTAAATAACCCAGTCCTTCTTTTCACTGTAGACAAGCCATGATCTGCTTATCTGTTCTCCATTTTTCATTTGGATGAAATAATAGCTGCATGAATCATGACAGCAGACAAGATAGAGGAGAGCAGGAGGCGGGGTTGCCAATCTACTCGCTCTGGGGAGCAGAGTTCGCTGCTTTTAGATGTTGTCTCCAAAGTCTCCAGCAGCAGAAAAAAGTCTCTAGATTTGGCGCTAGGAGCTTTTTAGAAATCAAAGTGCTAGAGGGGTCTGAAAAGTGGCTAAATATAGCGACTAAAGCGCTAAGTTGGCAACACTGCTCTTTGCATGGTTTGTTTTCAAATGGTTTGCTGCTGTCTGTTTGGACCTTTCTGAACATGTGCAGCAAATGGACTGATCCAATATGGTGGACACTGAAGGGGGGGCTGAGACACATTTAATATTATCAGCGTTCTGATGGCATTTTAGCAAAAACATAATTAATGTGCACAAATCAGGAATGTTTGTATTAACCATACATGGAAACACAGTTTTATGGGGCCCCCAGGATCTTGGCCCCCCCGGCAGCTGCCTAGTTTTGCCTAATGGTAAATCTCTGTCTGCATTCAGCGGCGATTTTTTTTTTTTTTTGTCCACTCTAATCGGTAATCTTAATGTCCGACCGTCCTGAACGCACCTCCTCCTTCGCTAAGCTAGTGAGCTGCAATAACAGCTCCATCTGTTAGAGCGGCTGAACACCGAGTCCAGCATCGGCCTGCAGAGCAGAGAGCATGCTGCACCCGCAGAGGTCCCTGTCCGAGCTGCCCAGGATGTCCGCGGCCAGCCAGGTGGAGACAGCCGTCCTGGTAAGGGACTACCTGCCGGGGACAGCTAGCTGTCCCACCCCCACCAGCCCCATAACATGTCGCCTTTTGTCGGCTCCTTTTATTTTCTAAATCCATTCCCGATTAAAGGGCAGAGTGGTGTTAGAGGGGGGGGGGGGCAATCGAGGGGCCCCATCAGCGGCAGAGCATCAGTGGACATGGAGGCCGGAAGGTCCACGACCAGAGGGACCAGCACCACAGAAAACTGCTGCTTTAAAGCTGAACAGGATCTATGTAGATTAGATCTACATCGGTGCATAGGTTCATTCTGTTCTATGTTCCTAGAATGACATCAATGGAACCTCCTGCAGAAATACCACAACAAAGAACCGCTTCCAGGGGCGGATCCAGGATTTTCAACCGGGGGGGGGGCTGAAGCTCCTACCTGTGACAGTAAATAACTCCAGGAGATCATGAAGTAATTTAATGTTAAAGAGGAACGCCATTTTTTTTCCATTGGGTCCTTGATTTTCCGTTATTCCATCGTGTTCTCCTCACCCATATGAGTTTAGTGTCATTTGGAGCCGTTCTGAAGATATTCCGTTAGGTTATATCCAGTAACGTCTTCCTATGGGCAACGACTTGAAGGCACAAACTAAACTGTTCATCATTTATTCTTTATGGTACGCCAGCATTCAGAACATGGAGGCCAATCACTGTCCCCCAGACATCCACCGTTAGATTATTTATATCTTTTAAAAAAATAGCGGCGTGTTTATGTTTATGACGTCATCCGTGCGGCGGACTGTAGTAGTGACAGGCAGCCCGGGCCACAGGCGGCGACGCTCTACTCCTTCTATTCATTCTAGCTAATCTGAATCGTTCATCTGGAGAGGGAGATCATCTGTGGTAGCAGCACTAGACATCTTCCAGGCATGTGAGGAAAACTAGCAGCAGTTCAGCGGACAGGATGAAGGAACGGTAGCCGGCGTGCGCGGATGATGTCATACATGCGCCGCTTTGTTTTAAAAAGATATAAATATCAAAAATATATCCGCAGATGTCTGGGGCATATGGTGTCATTTTCTACTCAAACTATAAAATCTTTGCAACAAACTAAATTATAATAAAACTAAAATCCTTTCTCTAAACCAAACTACGATGTTCCTCTTATATCGGTCTCCACCAGTCACGTGACATTTGTTGCTAAGACGCCATTTTAGGTGGAAAAGGCATAGTGTAAACAACCGCAGCATAGCTAAACGAAGGACTAAAGGCCCGTTTACACAGCAGTCTGTCCAAGATAAGTCATTACAGTTAACATAAGCCTGAAAACAGGGGCGGATTTAGGAAAATCGGTCTCCGCCAGTCACGTGACATTTGTTGCTAAGACGCCATTTTCGGTGGACAAGGCGTAGTGTACCGCGCCCGAGGTAAACAATTTACGTCACTTGGCGGAGACCGATTAGGCGAATTTATGTTTGAATATTTTGCAAAAATATGTTGCGGTGCTTGATGGGGTTTTGGAATTAAAGGCTAACGTTTCCTGTCTTAGGTCCATTGTTGCCTGGTTGGAATGTTTCCCAGTCTGGCAGTTTAGGACGGCCGTCTGTGGGTAAAAAAAAAAACATTTCTTTAGATTTACAGCCTAAGAGATCAATAGACTTTTGTTCAAATTGGGTGAGATTTCATATATCCAGGCGGTTTATGAACATATTTTGGGGTGGAAAACGTGAGTCGGTGACATCTGGCAACCCTGCTGATGTGGTGAGTGGCGCTCCCGTTACGCAGCAGCAGTCACTGTGGCGTCCATGTTAATAACCAAAGCCGTAAAACCGTGTTATAGAAGTCTTGGTGATGGTTTTCATGTAATGCTTGAATATAGACCGATTAATCCACAATGTGTATTCGTATCTGTTTCACATTTGAGACGCACGCGTTTGACTGCTTCTATTTTTTTCAGGGGGGGGGCTCCATAAGTGGACTGGTGTAGATGGAAAAATACCAGGGCCGAAAATGGTTCCCAGTCCGAGCCAGTGTCCAGACAAGGCAACTAGCAGTACTAGCCAATCAGAAGAAGAAGGGGGCGGGTCTTAGGAAAGCGTCTACCTCCTCCTCTCGTTTCTTGCTCATGTCACCAGATGGATTGTGGTTCAGTGCTGAAGGGAGAGTGACCTGCCGCCGTTTACGCCTCCATTCAACGGAGAGACGTGTTAAAAGTAAAAAAATAAATAAAGGAAACTTTGTGTTTGGAGAGAAGTACAATGGAGAGAATGGACTGGCATGGAGCGGGAATAATGCAGCTCATGAACTATGGTCAACTATGTGTGTATATATATATATATATATATATATATATATATATATATATATATATATATATATATATACATATTTCTTGCCTGGGTGGAAAAAGTTCAGGCTGAGAATTTTTAAAATGTGAATACAGTGAACCCTCGTTTATCGCAGGGGTTACGTTCCAACAAGAACCCGCGATAGGCTAAGTCCGTGAAGTAGAAACCTTTATTTTTTTACAGTTATTATACAATGAAATACTCCATACAACATGGAAATCAAGGAACAAAAACTTTTTACAGGCCCAAGCATTTGTTTAACAACTAAAAGTACTGGATAAACGGTTGTTGTTGTTGTTGTTTTTTACAAAAACCACTGTACTGTACTGTAAAATAATATAGTTATAGATAAATAAATGATCATTTTAATCATCAATATGAACTGAAGGGTTAATATTGTGGGGATTTTTTTTCTTCTGGGCCAAAAGATCCTTATAAACCGACATGCCACCAACGATTGTGTTTGACAATAAAGTTTAACAATGCATGATGCAAATCTGTGAAGCAGCGAGATCGTGAAAAGTGAACGGCGTTATGGCGAGGGTTCACTGTAGTTGAATTTTCTCAATGCTGCAATAGTTGATGGATCAGTGCAAGGCTCTGTGAGCACCATGCAGGTGTATGTATGGATGGAGCATTGAGATACTGACTGGGTTTGTCTTGTTTCTGTCAGGAGGAGGAGTTTAACTGGCTGCTAAGAGAGGAGGTGCACGCCGTGCTAAAGCAACTCCAGGAGATCCTCAAGGTAAGACTGAAGCTTGGAGTTAGACCATTTTAAATTTAACTGATTCAAGTGGACTTTTTATTTCTGTTGTTAATTATGTTCTAACATTGGAGATGTTAAGAATAGGAAGTTTTGACCTCTGCATGAGCTCTTTGATCAGATTTCTGAATTTAAAGGCGTATCGTCACATTGAATGCTTCCATAAAGATGACAAAAAAAACATTTGATCTTAATGAAATGAAAGAGAAAACCAGCTGGTGCAATCTGAGTATAGAAGAGTTTTCCTTCTGATCCCATGACCCAACACCCCCCTGGCATGGCGAGCACCCCTTAATCGAGGGGTGCTTGCTTGGGATTAAGCACACACACACTTAAGGGGAATTTAGAGAAGCCAATTAACCTAACAGTCGTGTTTATGGACTGTGGGAGGAAGCTGGAGTACCCAGAGAGAACCCACGTATGCTCAGGGAGAACATGCAAACTCCATGCAGAAAGACCCCCGGCCGGGAATCAAACGCAGAACCTTCATTCTGCAAGGCAGCAGTGCTACCCACTGCTCCACTGAGCAGCCCTCTTTAAGTTTCAATTATTATTATTATTCTTGTTTGACGGGAAACCGAGAGAGGATGTAGTCTGAGGTATTAGCCTGCAGCCATGTTTCAGTGAAACATAATGCAGCTTTTCTCATTTCCTGTCCTTTAAATTGATCTGATTTCTCTGCCAAAAATCTTCCCTTGCTCAGTTCTAGACCAGAATCTTCCACACTGGAAAAAACTATTTAGAAATAGGTAAAAATTTCTCAAATTAAGTGCATTTACCCTTAATTTGAGTAGCTAAATAAGATGATTTGACAATGAAATGAGTATTTTTACTCTTAAAATAAGACTTGAAATAAGACAATGCAATTGCTCTTTCTTATTTTAAATGTAAATTGTCTTGTTCCATTGGCAAAATGTCTCAATTCAAGAACAAATGCTCTTATTTTAAGAAAAAAATAACTTTTTCTAGATTAAGTTTTTTTTCCAGTGCATTTGATCTGCTGAATGAAACGCTGTGACCAAAATGTTTCTTGGTCTTTGTCGACAGGAGGCCTCCAGACGTTTCTCCATGCCCTCACCAGGCCTGGAAAGTCAGCTGAAGCAGGAAAACTTCATCCTGGGCAGCTCAACGTAATGTTTCCAAAGCTTCTCTGTTTGTTTCAAAGCTCATGGAAAGTTAGATGTTCTTCCAGCTGCCGTTAGCTGAAGCCTCCAGCAAACGGGCCTTATTTTCAGATAATATTCTCATACTGTAAGCGGCTGCCTGTCTCTAATCATTTAGACTTGGCTAGTTTTGATCAGCGTACGAGAAAACCATTTTACTTTGACAGTAAACCTGATTGTCCCTGCTGTCCTCTGATGCCTGACCGTCCTCTGTCTTCATTTGGTTTATGGCTAAATGTTCAGGGCATGGTTAACATGGTAGATCAGGGGTCAGCAACCCAGACTGTTCAAAGAGCCAGATTGAACCAAAAAACTAATCTGTCTTCTTTAAGCCTCGTATGGCAACACAAGCTCCACAGTAGCAGCCATTCAAAATGGCCTTCCCAGTCAAACGCCAACTGAATGCCAGCAGACTGCCCTTCACTGAATTACAGGGTCTGACCAGGAGATGGCGCTTCTCTTTAGATATTAATGTCCACAAATCATGACAGAAGGAATATTTTAGAACAAAGACTGATGCTTAAAAAGAAATTGTGGGGGACCAGCCAATGACCAGCCAAGGACCAGCCAAGGATCAACCAAGAACCAACCAAGGACCAACCAAGGACCAGCCAAGGACCAACCAAGGACCAACCAAGGACCAACCAGTGACCAGCCAAGGACCAACCAATGACCAACCAGTGACCAGCCAAGGACCAACCAAGGACCAACCAATGACCAACCAATGAGCACCCAAGGACCAACCAATGAGCACCCAAGGACCAACCAATGACCAGCCATAGACCAACCAATGACCAACCAAGGACCAGCCAAGGACCAACCAATGACCAGCCAAGGACCAGCCAATGACCAGCCAAGGACCAACCAATGACCAACCAATGACCAGCCATAGACCAACCAATGACCAACCAAGGACCAGCCAATGACCAACCAATGACCAGCCATAGACCAACCAATGACCAACCAAGGACCAGCCAAGGACCAACCAATGACCAGCCAAGGACCAGCCAATGACCAGCCAAGGACCAACCAATGACTAGCCATAGACCAACCAATGACCAACCAAGGACCAGCCAAAGACCAACCAATGACCAGCCAAGGACCAGCCAATGACCAGCCAAGGACCAACCAAGGACCAGCCAAGGACCAGCCAATGACCAACCAATGACCAGCCAAGGACCAACCAAAGACCAACCAATGACCAACCAAGGACCAACCAAGGACCAGCCAAGGCCCAACCACTGACCAGCCAAGGACCAGCCAATGACCAACCAATGACCAGCCAAGGACCAGCCAATGACCAACCAATGACCAACCAATGACCAGCCAAGGACCAACCAATGACCAACCAAGGACCAGCCAAGGACCAACCAATGACCAGCCAAGGACCAACCAATGACCAACCAAGGACCAGCCAAGGACCAACCAATGACTAGCCGAGGACCAACCAATGACAACCAATGACCAACCAAGGACTAACCAATGACCAGCCAAGGACCAGCCAATGACCAGCCAAGGACCAACCAATGACCAACCAATGACCAGCCATAGACCAACCAATGACCAACCAAGGACCAGCCAATGACCAACCAATGACCAGCCATAGACCAACCAATGACCAACCAAGGACCAGCCAAGGACCAACCAATGACCAGCCAAGGACCAGCCAATGACCAGCCAAGGACCAACCAATGACCAACCAATGACTAGCCATAGACCAACCAATGACCAACCAAGGACCAGCCAAAGACCAACCAATGACCAGCCAAGGACCAGCCAATGACCAGCCAAGGACCAACCAAGGACCAGCCAAAGACCAACCAATGACCAGCCAAGGACCAGCCAATGACCAACCAATGACCAGCCAAGGACCAACCAAAGACCAACCAAGGACCAGCCAAGGACCAACCAATGACCAGCCAAGGACCAGCCAATGACCAACCAATGACCAGCCAAGGACCAGCCAAGGACCAACCAATGACCAACCAAGGACCAGCCAAGGACCAACCAATGACCAGCCAAGGACCAACCAATGACCAACCAAGGACCAGCCAAGGACCAACCAATGACTAGCCAAGGACCAACCAATGACAACCAATGACCAACCAAGGACTAACCAATGACCAGCCAAGGACCAGCCAAGGACCAACCAGTGACCAACCAAGGACCAGCCAATGACCAGCCAAGGACCAACCAATGACCAACCAATGACCAGCCATAGACCAACCAATGACCAACCAAGGACCAGCCAATGACCAACCAATGACCAGCCATAGACCAACCAATGACCAACCAAGGACCAGCCAAGGACCAACCAATGACCAGCCAAGGACCAGCCAATGACCAGCCAAGGACCAACCAATGACCAACCAATGACTAGCCATAGACCAACCAATGACCAACCAAGGACCAGCCAAAGACCAACCAATGACCAGCCAAGGACCAGCCAATGACCAGCCAAGGACCAACCGCCAACAGCCAAGGCTTCGTCCCTTTGCTGTTGGACCACCAATGGAGGCCGACTGATTTCTAATTAATATTACAAAATAATAAATTTTATGTCGAAGCTGCTTGTCTGGACACTCAAGGTCACACAATGGATCAACAAAAATAATAAAAAAGGTTGGGAAATGAATACTAAAGAGAAGTTTTAAACGGCTGAGTTTTGATTTAAAAATGGAGAAGTGAGTCTCAGAGGAGGCCTCTCTGTGTTCTCACCAAATACCTCAATTCATCACCACATTAGACAATAACTTCTGTTTTTTACCACAACCCTGGAGAAAACAATGCACGCAAAAAACAAACTATTTTATTTGGAGTATTTTTATTGTTAGACAGCAGATTTCTTAGCCTGTGACGCAGCGTTTAACGTCAGGTGAAGTTCCAGCGGGAATCGCAGAGAAACTCACGTCTGTAAGAAGAACATAATGTTAGAATAAACAGAAGAAAATCAGCTAAAAATGATGATAAAACACAGCAGGAAGTCATTTGAACAGGGGCTGCTGTGAGCCTCTAGGCTCATTTAAAATACAATAAATTAATAGATTCACTACTTTATTGTCATAAAGGCTTCAGTGCAACCAGGGTCTGTAACAGACGTCAGTTCTAAGGTGAATATCTACGCTATTAATTAAACTTCAGAATTACACTCTAGTAGATCAGGTCAGCTGGCAGAGTCACTGTTAATGTCACACCTGAGTCTTTTACACCGTGGGCAGGACTTTTAGGCAAGTTGTTTTTTTGAGGATTATGTTTATTATTGGGCAACATGTGATCTTAATCAACCCAAAAGACTCCTTAATATCAATGTTTTATATTTTTGGAAGTTGATGTGTTTTCTTTTTAGATTTGGCCATTTAGGTGTGTGCAGGTAAATATTTCTGTGCAGAAAATTACCATGACGCTCTAAAGCCTTCCATCCATAGATGCTGTCAGTGTCTTGATCACAGGGTTCCCGCAGGTCCTTAAAAAGTCTTAAAAGGCATTGAATTCTTCAAAATAAAAATAAGGCCTTAATTGGTATTAAAATGTCTTAAATCAGTCTTTCGTAGGTCTTAATTTTTAAAACATCATAAATAGGATTATTTTTATTACGATTTATTTTTGTAATCTAAACAAAATGTTAAAATTTATCTTTTTTATTTATTTTTTTGATAAAAAAAAAAAAAAAAACTGCTCTCCATTATTGGTTCCGTCCCGATAGCGGAACCAATAAAGCGTTGTTGCTGGGGAGACATTTGGGAGATGCACCATTAACTTTTTGTCTGGAAAATATGAGCAAGTGTAAATGTAACCAAAATTGTCTCCAGCCAAGAGTTTTTCTCCATGGCTAAAACCAGGGAACATACATGAGGCTCAGTGGATTTAGTGCAAGAAGTCATTCAAGCTCAGAACGATGGGAATTAAGGCAGTGGAGTCGCACATGCGAAGCACGAAACACAAAGCGTCAAAATGGAGTTACCTAGAAACAGCCGGTATTTCTCAGTTTAGTTCCACCCTTGTCTCTGCAACGCCTCCACTTATCACCAAATCAAACATACTAAGAAAACCATACAAAGAAAAATAGCTGCAAAAAAGACTTAGCACTGGTTATGTTGGGGCTTTAAAACTGATTTGTTTTGTTCCCTGCTAAAACAAAGTTTGTGAATTCAGTTAAATAATTGTTCAAATATATCTGTCATTTGTGTGTTTTTAGCTTTCTCCCTGTATGGGAAGCTTTTCAACATTTGAAACATTAGTGCAGTGGTTTATGTTAAAATAAACCTTTGGGTTAAGTTGTCGCAAGCAGTTTTTTTGTGTTTCTTGTGAATTTGATCTTAAATTTTTATTTCAAGTGGCATTAAAAAGTCTTAAAAAGTCTTGAATTTTGTGATCCTCATGGCGTGCAGCAGCCTCCACAGCCTCCCAGACACTGTTTTCCCTCCCTGTAGATCTCACCTTTCATGAAGGACCACAGGTTCTCCATGGGGTTCAGATCAGGTGACCAAGGCGGCCATGTCATTATTTTTTTCTCCTTTTAGCCTTTTCCTGGCCGCCACGCTGTGGTGGATTCTGATGCGTGTGACGGAGCATCGTCCTGCATGAATATCAGGTGTTTCTGGAATGATGGCGACTTCATCTTGTTCCGCTGTTTGAAGAAGGTGTCTTCCAGAAACTGGCAGTAGGTCTGGGAGTTGATCTTGACTCCATCATCAACCTGAAGAGGTCCCACAAGCTCATCTTTGATGATAGCAGCCCATAGCATTACCCCACCTCCACCTTGCTGGCGTCTGAGTGGATAAGGAACTTGCTGCCCTTTACTGATCCAGCCTGGTGCCCATCCATCCATCTGGCCCATCTAGACTCTCTCTCATTCCATCAGACCAAACACCTTGGAGGAATCAGTCTGCAGAGATTTCTTGTGCGTCTTGTTCAAAGGTGGCCCTTTTTTCAGCTTTCCTTACCTTGGCCAGGTCCCTGAGTATTGAGCACCTTGTGCTCCAGACATGTTGCAGCTCTGAAATATGGCCCAACTGGTGGCTAATGGCTTCCTGGCAGCTTCATGCATCATCCTTCTCAATTCATGAGGAGTTATTTTGCGTCTTCTTTGTTCAACACGCTTCTTGGCTATTTGCCATGAACCTCTTGATTGTGCAATGATCCCGCTTCAACAGCTTGTTTATTTCCAAACTTTTCTGACCCATTTTGCCAAAGGAAGGAAGTTGTCTAATAATTAAGCACACCTTATATAGGGTGTTGATGTCATTAGGCCACGCCCCTTCTCATTACAGAGATGAACACCACCTGATTTACTGAAGTGGTAGTTGGCTTTCCAGCCTCTACAGCTTGGAGGATGATAACATGAATGAAAAAGATGATGTGGTGGAAATATTAATTTGCCGAATAATTCTGCACACGGTGAAGCTCCAACATCCTTATATGCAAACCACAAGGAATTAATTATGTTATTATACTATTTAAACGTTATTGAACAGTTCTCCATTACACAAAAAAACACAGGATCAAAATAGATCAAAGATCAAAATAAGACTTTAAAATGCCGTGGTTACGTTAAACTACAGGAATAAATATGAAAGTGGCAGCAGCACCGTGCTCTTTCTTTGCGCTAGAAGCTGTCCTGGTTACACGCTAGGTTGGGTTGCAGGTGCAGCTGCTATCAGAGGCGGGCGGACGGTCTCCTCACGTTGATGACATCTATGTCTTCGGCAGGCGTAGAGCTAACAGAACTGGCAGCGTTGCGAGGCAAGGGCTCAAACATGTACGGCTGGAAGCCTTCTACACCAAACCAAGCTTCTGCCGCCCTGGCGTCCTCTTCCACAACATCTTCGTCCCCGCTTTCCTCCTCTAAATAAAAAATGGATGACGGAGGAGACTCATCCACGACCTCCGACACTAAACTCTCCTCCTCTTGCATGTTTCCGCTGTCCATAGCGTTCCTTGACAGCGTCGTTTCTAGAGTCACCAATTTAGTGCTACTTGGTCCCAATGGAATTTCCCATTGGGAACCTGCTAGCACTAAGATGCTAACTGGTTAGCAGGATGCTTCCAACAAACCGGCCACAACCAAACTTGCTTGCGAACCTTCCGCCACAACAATCCCGCCCCCTTGATAATCGACCAATCACATTCACTCTATTCACTCGTGTAAAGTCGGGCACCACTGGGAGAATTCGGAACTGCAGCGGTTGGAACGGCTTCTTCTCTACGACTTTTAATGCATTTTTTTTTATCTTCTTCTCGCCACTAGGGGGTGCTGCAGCACCTCCATTTCCTGCAGCCATGAAACACAGTTTTCTTGGTGTTTAAATGGGGAAAAGTAGGGAAAATGCAAATTTCAGTTAACAAAAAAATATGTCTTCTTCTAATAAAATATGGCAGCAGCTACGTGCTACACGCTATTCCTGAAGGCTTCCAATGAAAGGTTGAGAATAAACTTCCAGACCTGACAGTGCAGGTGACTCCATCGTGCAGGTCTGCAGCCAGAGTCCTCTCACCTTGATATTTTCATTAACGAATAAACGTTCGAACGAACAGACTCTAAACTTTGCCCCTGATTTTACTTCAGACCTTTCCGATGTTTTAAATCCATGTTTCTTTGCCCAATGAGGCTGATAAGGTTTTAGAGGCTTAAATAAAAGTCAGAGTGAATACTTGGTCTGCATGTTTCTGCTTGGCTTCATGGAGGCTTTATCTGCTGATTTGTTTTTGCAGCATGGATCAGGTGAAAGGGGTGCTGACTCTGCAGGGAGAAGCTCTGACTCAGGCTGTGAGTAGTCACTCTTTCCACATTCACCCTCCGAATTTAGTTGCATGACATCTTTTAATGTTTAACTCTCCTCCACAGGACATTAACCTGAAGGTCGCCAAGAGCAGCCAAGTCCTGCATTTTCAGTTCAGAGAAGACAAACAATGGAAGCTGCAGCAGGTAGTCTGAAATTCCTGTCCGTTCAGGAAACGGTTTCAAAAAGTAAACCAACCAGATTATTTTAGAGGAAACAAAGCTGCAGCATGACTGCTTGTAATAATATGCTGGTGCAGATTCTCAGTCATCCAGGTCATATAGTCGTTCCATAAAAGTTAAAATCAATCCACTGGACTTTGTTTCCAAGTTTGAAGACGTTTCTCTTCCATCCAGGAAGATTTTTCAATTCAAAATGTCAGAAATAGAAAAGGCCTGGTTTTAGTTTAGAAAACATGCAAATAGAAACGGATGAACGGGTCCCCCCCTTTGGAATGGGGGTCATTTCAGAGACATAGACAGGTATGGGGCATTGCAGGCCAAAAAAGAAGCCAAACGACCCCCATTCCAAAGGGGGGGACCCGTTCATCCGTTTCTATCTGCATGTTTTCTAAATTAAAACATGCAGTGTTTTTACAGTGGCCCAGAGGTGTCAACACTGATACGAAAGCTGCAACAGATTTAAATATAAAAGCCATAGACATTATATACGTAGACATCTCATTGGACGCTGACGGCAGCGAGGCCGACATGCACGGCGGGCGGCCATCTTGGATCGGACCACAGTTCAGCTGCTGTCAGAAGGCAGAGGAGGCGCCTTAGATCTCATTTTAATCCCATGAAAGACGGGTCAGAGATGATATTACAATAATCTCTGACACGTCACAACCCCTTAAAAGACCAAAACAAATTCTAAAATTACCTTTTAGCTAGATTACACCGATTTATTCACATAAGAAACTATTTAAACTGAACTCAAACTGGATGAAATGCATGCAAAGTTATATATTTTGCAATTAAATATTAATATGATAAACACAAAGTTTTATATTAATATATTATAAGATTATATGTATATATATGTATATATTTATGCTGCAGCTTTTGTATTTGTGTTGACACCTCTGGGCCACCGTATAAACAAGGCGTTGTTGCTCTACTTTATAAAGCCTGGAACTAAACGCTATTTCTGACATTTTGAATTGAAAAAGCTTCCTGGATGGAAGAGAAACGTCTTCAGACTTGGAAACAAAGTCCAGCGGATTGTAATAATGCATCATATTAACTATGCACATTGGATAGAGCTGCCTGTTCACTTCCTGGTTCCCCCTGTGTGCGTTCTGCAGTCTCAGCCAGCCTGCCTGTGTTTCTCTGGTTCCCCTCCGCTGCTAAAGCACCAACATGTCTGGTTAAAGCAGTGGATTCCAGCAGGGCCGGCCACCGTTCAATTAGTACTGAAATACTGGTAACAGGACACCATGTTGGTGTCATAATAACAGAAGCACTTCCTCTCAGATCTCAGTGAACTTTAGTTTCTAAGGAGCTTTTCAAAGTGGAACTGGATGACATTTAAAAAAAAACCAAAACATGAATCCGATCATTCTGCAGAAAACATTTTATCATTAGATGAACCAACTGAAGCCCCTACAGGCCGGGCTGAACCTGAGCACCCCCCCGGACTGAACCAGCAACCAGACCGGAAACAGAGCAGAGAGATTTCCAGACCAGCTAAAACCAACTGGATGCTTCCCAGTAGCACTGGGAGCAGAGGAGTCAAATTATTCATGTTTATTCCTCCAGTATAAATCCTGCTGTTTAAAAACACTTTTAAAGAAGTTAGAGGATCAACTTCAGCTTTTTACTACTATAAAAGTGTAATAGCACCATTTTAAAAACTAAATTATAAAAGTAATGCAGTAAAAACTGTTCAGGCCAGAAGCTTTCCTGCTTTACTCTATTAAAGGAACATTTTTCTAACATTCTGGATGATAACTTCCTTAGATTTTATTTTCTTAGTTTTATAACTAATGGTAACAGCGTCACTTTAAACTTTGCATCATCTGCAAAAAACTATTTATTCCGGTCTGTGGTGAGCAACAAGTTGGGGCAGCACCGAGTCCAACTATAAAGAAATTAATTGTCTGGATGAAACTAATTATTTTGTTGGTTTTTATTTTTTTAAACACCAACAGGCCATAAATGAAAATGAGCTTAAATAAAAAAAAACTAACAAGACTATTTTTAAAACGTAAGGAATAGAAGGAAAAAGTTCTCTAGAGATAATTACTGCAGTAAAGTATAGATGGGCAACATTTCTACTGATGGTAACAAAGTATTTGTTCTTTACTGGACCCCTCTGTCTATTGGTAGAAGATCTATATTTATAAAGGATTGGTTGATTAAACAAATCTGGTCAATTTCTCACTGAATGGATGGAAATGGTGATATTTTAAGTTTAACAGGCTTCATGGAACTGATTGTTCGTTAACAAGTTTCAATAAAGTTTTGCGTTGTATACCTGATGTTCTCCTTATGTCCGTTAAAAACAGTATATCTAATTTCTCTTTTCCAAGACTCTGTTAGCTTCAAATTGAGCATTAGAGATAATAAATGCACCAATAGGTTCTTGAATCAATATTTAATATACAGTTGTGGTCAAAAGTGTACCTACACTTGTAAAAAATCATAATGTTATGGCTGTCTTGAGTCTTCAATAAGTTCTACAACTCTTATTTTTCTGTGATAGAGTGATCGGAACACATACATGTTTGTCACAAAAAACAGTCATAAAATTTGGTTCGTTCATAAATTTATTATGGGTCTGCTGAAAATGTCACCAAATCTGCTGGGTCAAAAATATACATACAGCAACATTAGTATTTGGTTACATGTCCCTTGGCCATTTTCACGGCAACTAGGCGCTTTTGGTAGCCATCCACAAGGTCCTGGCAAGCTTCAGGTCGAATGTTTGACCACTCTTCTTGACAGAATTGGTGCAGTTCAGCTAAATGTGATGGTTTTCTTGCATGAACCTGTTTCTTTAGCACTGTCCACATGTTCTCAATGTGGTTTAAGTCAGGACTTTGGGAAGGCCATTCTAAAACCTTAATTCTAGCCTGGTTTAGCCATTCCTTTACCACTTTTGATGTTTGTTTTGGGTCATTGTCTTGTTGGAACACCCAACTGCGCCCAAGACCCAACCTTCGGGCTGATGGTTTTAAGTTTTCCTGCAGAATTTGGAGGTAATCCTCCTTCTTCATTATCCCATTTACTTTCTGCAAAGAACCAGTTCCACTGGCAGCAAAACATCCCCAGAGCATAATACTACCACCACCATGCTTGATAGTAGGCATGGTGTTCCTGGGATTAAAGGCCTCACCTTTTCTCCTCCAAACATATTGCTGGGTGTTGTGGCCAAACAGCTCAATTTTTGTTTCATCTGACCAGAGAACTTTCCTCCAGAAGGTTTTATCTTTGTCCATGTGATCAGCAGCAAACTTCAGCCGAGTCTTAAGGTGCCTTTTCTGGACTTCTTTCTTGCACGGCAGCCTCTCAGTCCATGCCGATGTAAAACACGCTTGACTGTGGAGACTGACACCTGTGTTCCATCAGCTTCCAAATCCTTGCAGACCTGCTTCTTGGTGATTCTTGGTTGACTCTTGACCATCCTGACCAATCTCCTCTCGGCAGCATGTGATAGCTTGCGTTTTCTTCCTGATCGTGGCAGTGACACAACTGTTCCATGCACTTTATACTTGCGTATAATTGTCTGCACAGTTGCTCTTGGGACCTGTAGCTGCTTTGAAATGGCTCCAAGTGACTTCCCTGACTTGTTCAAGTCAATAATTCGCTTTTTCAGATCCACACTGAGTTCCTTTGACTTTCCCATTGTAGCTTTTGTAGCTGAGTCTAATCACTGGGTCAAACGAGCCCTATTTAAATGGGCTCATGAGAAGTCAACAGCTGTAGTCAATCAGAATCACTTAGAAGAAGTGAAGAGGCCATGACATGAAGCTAATTTGATTGACACAACTCGCTACATCACCAAAGTTGACACATTTTGTTGCTGTATGTATATTTTTGACCCAGCAGATTTGGTGACATTTTCAGCAGACCCATAATAAATTTATGAAAGAACCAAATTTTATGACTGTTTTTTGTGACAAACATGTATGTGTTCCGATCACTCTATCACAGAAAAATAAGAGTTGTAGAACTTATTGAAGACTCAAGACAGCCATAACATTATGATTTTTTACAAGTGTAGGTACACTTTTGACCACAACTGTATAATATGTACCCTGGTGGAACTAAACATACACTTCTCTTAAAACATTTTAACAAATCTACAATAATCAAAATTAGGAAAAAAATATTATTAATTATTATAATTATTTGAAATGCCCAATTCCTCCTAAATATAAAAAATTACCATTTAAGATAATAAATGACACATATCCTTCAAATGAGTCCTTAAGAGAGAGATTTAAACTCAATGTTGGGAAATGTGGTTTCAATTGGAAACTACTAATCATTTGTTTTATGGATGTAAAGAAGTTAAAAACCTCTGGGATCTACTTCAGATCTTTTTATCTTCTAGATCTATAAATGTAGACTTTAATTCCTTACAAATAATTCAGTTTGGTTTATATATTAATGAAAAAAAGGTGGAATTCTTAGTTAATACTTTGATGATTATAACCAAATATTATATCCATAAATGTCGTTATGCAAAATGCCTCCTCTCATTCTCTGCTCTCAAAAACGATTTTCCTCCTTTAACCGACGTCTGAAGAAGATGAAACCTTAAAGCAAATAAATTGATTTATTGGAAGAATTTCAGTTAGTCCCCTCTTCTTAATAATTTATTTATTTATTTTAGTCTGTAATTTTTTATTGGAGTTAATAGGAGTTGTGATCTTATTTTTTCTTGTAATGTTCAATATTGACGTATTGTTGAATTTGTCATTGATATTCTGGTTTTTTTTCAATAAAACAGACCTACCAGCAGGTGGCGATAGTAGCAGCTACTCAGAAATGAATCTGAAAATGGTTCATTTTATCCCAAAAGTCGATGATGTTTTAGATGCTGAGAGTTTTACTTTTATCTGAGTCAGTAGAAAACTTTTAATATTTCGCCTTGATGATGAAAATAGAGGATTTATCACCAAAAAGAAATATTTTCTTATTCAGAAACTTTTAATTGAAGAGACATTATGGAATATTTTACAGTAAAATATCTATAAATCATTTTTTATTCTGCCTTTTTAGGACTAAAACCTGGTTTGATGTTTTAGTAGTTCAGTATTGATGTGTCTATCAGCCTGTTTTCCCTGAATTTACTTCCTGTCAGAAGTTCCCGCGCTGTTCCATGTTAAATGGTCTGACTTAGCAAACAATCCAGGCTTTATATTCAGAAGCGAACTGCATCCAGCTCAACTGAACCTGACGGCAGCTCCAGGAAAAGGTGGAAGTAGAGAAAAAAGAAACTAACAATTATTTTATCGCTTAATAATCAGAAAGCCAAATGTTCCTTAAAGAAGACTTTTTACAAAAGTAAACCAGCTGAACTTCAAACTGTTTTGGAAATAGCACATTGATGGACAAAAACATATTTTCGCAGTTTAATTTTAATTTAAAAAATCTGTTTTTACAGTTCAGTCTAATTTTAGTGATCTATAAATGGAAAAACAGAAAGAACAGTGTTTTTAATAAATGTAATATAGTCACTTCATTTAATTTACGCATTAACCTGAGCAGCAATCCTTTCCTTCACCATTTTCCTCTCCTTATTTCTCTGTCTGGCAAATCTGGTCTGATTGGTTTATTCTACGGGTTTAGTAGTTAACACTGGATTAAAAGCTGGATTAAATCGAGCTGAGATAACCAAGACCATCACTGCAGTATCACTTATTTTATCTATATTTAAGCAACTTTAGTTAAAATGTTTATTTCTTTACAATCTTGGTATAATTGCTGCTTTAAGTGTGTCGCTCTGTCAGCTAAAATAATATTTTACAGTCTCTATACTCCTGTTAACGTTTCATTTTTTACTAAATTAGTTGAGGATTATTTAAGTAATTTATTAATCTGATTAATTGTTTCATTCCTGGTTTAGTTTGAGCGTGAGCAGGACAGAGCTGCAGTTCTGTGTTTTGGCCACAGGTGGCAGTATAATTAGAAGACTTGGTAATCCTTCTTTATGATCCAATTTAACTTATTTGCTTTAAAAAAACAAACATTTATCGATTAAAGAGTGTTTGCAGATTGATTGAAGGTCTTGCTGCCCACAGCATTACAGTTCCTCCACCTTAGCTGGTTGGTAGAACAAGACGATTCCAGTTAAAGTCCAAACCCAGTTCAGTTAATGTCTGTGATATTTCCAAGGCAGCAGCTGGCCTGCAGCAGCATGCAGAGGTTGTCATGGAGACCTGTTTATCCATAGATGCCACTCTCCTGCTGCTCTGCAGACCATCCTGCTTGCTGCGTACGGAGGAGAAATATGGCCGCCTGTCCATCCTGTTAACCCTTTTCCATGTGAACGTCTGAAGCTGTCCTCATTCCTCTGCTCTCCGTCCCCCCCCTCAGATACAGGATGCCAGGAACCACGTGAACCAAGCTCTGCTGCTTCTGAGCAGCCGCGATGAGACGTACCAGTTCAAGACTGGAGCCGAGGTCAACAAGGTGGGTCAATCTGAGCCGGACGCGTCTGAAACCCGCAGCGTCTGTGATGATGACCGACCGGATGTTTGTGTTTACGCTGCAGCTCATGGACGCGGTGATGCTGCAGCTGACCCGAGCACGGAACCGCCTCACCACCCCTGCATCCCTGACTCTGCCAGAACTTGCCACCAGTGGACTGATGGTATGGAACGCCATGGGAAGGCCGTTCACACCCTGGAGCATGCAGGCGGCAGCATCATGCTGTGGGCCTGCTGTTTCCTCAGTAGGAAAGGGAGAGCTGCTGCAGTGTTAGCTTTTCATTGTCGCTCTTCACATATTAACATCTATCTGTTATGCTACGTTCAAAATGAACGCTTTCAGCAGCAGAAGCAGCCGCTTTACATGCTAAGTCTATGGATGACGCGCATGAAGGCGCATCAAAAGGTCCTGCAGTGCATGTAGAGCAGCAGGAGCCTCATGAGCTTCTGAGCATCTGAGGCGCTTCACAAGCAGCAACTGCTGGAGGTGGAAAAATGGAACTTAAAGGAATAGTACACCCAAAACATGATTAGCCTTCATTTTCTACTCACCCCCATGCTGAACAACACTCTGGAGTACTTTTTTGATATCTCAAATGCATCTGGAGATCTGGGAGGCTTCTTGCTGTCTGCTGACATTCAAATAATGGAGGTCTATGGCGCCCGAGTCAGAAAGGTCCATAAAAGTCCACAAAAACGTGTCAATATTCCTCCATACTGCTCGTCCAATGTATTCCAAGTGTCCTGAGTGGGTAGCATCCAGAATTTACTCGAAACGAAGTCATTTAGAATGTTTTTAGAGCATAAACAGTAGTGTATAGGATTTCCTGAAAGCGTGTTCACGAGTCTACGGAAACCGCGGCAGACCAAACCAGATGAAAGTGCGCATTCAGCGTCTGCTCTGCCGATAATGCAAGCGTAGAAGAAGAAATGTGCTGTTTACCTGTGCAAAGAAAGAAACAAGGAAAGAAAAATGTCTGAGGACTTCAGTGTTGAGGAAGAGCATGAGTTCTTTGCCGAGCTGAATGCGCACTTTCATCTGGTTTGGTCTGCCGCGGTTTCCGTAGACTCGTGAACGCGCTTTTAGGAAATCCTATACACTACTGTTTATGCTCTAAAAACATTCTAAATGTTAACAAAATTCACTGAGGATTTTGGTTGGAAAGTCAGAAAGTCTGGACCGTTCCAGGGTGGGAATACTTTAGCAAGGGTTACAAAGCCTTTCCCTGTCCTTTCCTCTTACCACCAGAAAATGTTCACGCCCCCCATGCCTGGTGACGTGATGGTGAACTTTTACATCAATCTGAGCAAACTGTGTCTGACCGTCTACCAGCTGCACGTTCTGCCCCCAAACACCACCAAGGTAAGAGGCTCCTCCTGCTCATCGGCTCCTCCTGCTTTTCACCTGCTGATTTACTGCTTCCTCTGCTTTCCTCCTCAGAACTTCAAACCAACAGGAAGCTCATTGTTGCACAATCCTGGAGCCATGTTGTAAGTTTCCAGACGAAGTGTTGCACAATCTGCCTGTTTGCTTTTATTTTATTAATGGAGGAAGAACACTGATCGGTGTCCTAAGCTGAAGCCGGTGTTCTGTCAGCTCGGCATACTGCATCAGGCCAGCATACGGCATCAGGCCGGCATACGGCATCAGGCCGGCATACGGCATCAGGCCAGCATACCACATACTGCATCAGGCCAGCATACGGCATCAGGCCAGCATACGGCATCAGCTCGGCATACGGCATCAGGCCAGCATACGGCATCAGCTCAGCATACGGCATCAGGCCGGCATACAGCATCAGGCCAGCATACCACATACTGCATCAGGCCAGCATACGGCATCAGGCCATTATACGGCATCAGCTCGGCATACGGCATCAGGCCGGCATACGGCATCAGGCCAGCATACCACATACTGCATCCGGCCAGCATACCACATACTGCATCCGGCCAGCATACCACATACAGCATCAGGCCAGCATACCACATACTGCATCAGGCCAGCATACGGCATCAGGCCATTATACGGCATCAGCTCGGCATACGGCATCAGGCCGGCATACGGCATCAGGCCAGCATACCACATACTGCATCCGGCCAGCATACGGCATCAGGCCATTATACGGCATCAGCTCGGCATACGGCATCAGGCCGGCATACTGCATCAGGCCAGCATACCACATACTGCATCCGGCCAGCATACCACATACAGCATCAGGCCAGCATACCACATACTGCATCAGGCCAGCATACGGCATCAGGCCATTATACGGCATCAGCTCGGCATACGGCATCAGGCCGGCATACGGCATCAGGCCAGCATACCACATACTGCATCCGGCCAGCATACCACATACTGCATCCGGCCAGCATACCACATACTGCATCCGGCCAGCATACCACATACTGCATCCGGCCAGCATACCACATACTGCATCAGGCCAGCATACCACATACTGCATCAGGCCAGCATACCACATACTGCATCAGGCCAGCATACCACATACGGCATCAGGCCAGCATACCACATACTGCATCAGGCCAGCATACCACATACGGCATCAGGCCAGCATACCACATACTGCATCAGGCCAGCATACCACATACTGCATCAGGCCAGCATACCACATACGGCATCAGGCCAGCATACCACATACTGCATCAGGCCAGCATACCACATACGGCATCAGGCCAGCATACCACATACTGCATCAGGCCAGCATACCACATACGGCATCAGGCCAGCATACCACATACTGCATCAGGCCAGCATACCACATACTGCATCAGGCCAGCATACCACATACTGCATCAGGCCAGCATACCACATACTGCATCAGGCCAGCATACCACATACGGCATCAGGCCAGCATACCACATACTGCATCAGGCCAGCATACCCAATACGGCATCAGGCCAGCATACCACATACTGCATCAGGCCAGCATACCACATACTGCATCAGGCCAGCATACCACATACTGCATCAGGCCAGCATACCACATACTGCATCAGGCCAGCATACCACATACGGCATCAGGCCAGCATACCACATACTGCATCAGGCCAGCATACCACATACGGCATCAGGCCAGCATACCACATACTGCATCAGGCCAGCATACCACATACTGCATCAGGCCAGCATACCACATACGGCATCAGGCCAGCATACCACATACTGCATCAGGCCAGCATACGGCATCAGGCCGGCGTACGGCATCAGGCCAGCATACGGCATCAGCTCGGCATACGGCATCAGGCCAGCATACGGCATCAGCTCGGCATACGGCATCAGGCCGGCATACAGCATCAGGCCAGCATACCACATACTGCATCAGGCCAGCATACGGCATCAGGCCATTATACGGCATCAGCTCGGCATACGGCATCAGGCCGGCATACGGCATCAGGCCAGCATACCACATACTGCATCCGGCCAGCATACCACATACTGCATCCGGCCAGCATACCACATACTGCATCAGGCCAGCATACCACATACTGCATCAGGCCAGCATACCACATACTGCATCAGGCCAGCATACCACATACTGCATCAGGCCAGCATACCACATACTGCATCAGGCCAGCATACCACATACGGCATCAGGCCAGCATACCACATACTGCATCAGGCCAGCATACCCAATACGGCATCAGGCCAGCATACCACATACTGCATCAGGCCAGCATACCACATACTGCATCAGGCCAGCATACCACATACTGCATCAGGCCAGCATACCACATACTGCATCAGGCCAGCATACCACATACGGCATCAGGCCAGCATACCACATACTGCATCAGGCCAGCATACCACATACGGCATCAGGCCAGCATACCACATACTGCATCAGGCCAGCATACCACATACGGCATCAGGCCAGCATACCACATACTGCATCAGGCCAGCATACCACATACGGCATCAGGCCAGCATACCACATACTGCATCAGGCCAGCATACGGCATCAGGCCGGCGTACGGCATCAGGCCAGCGTACCGCATCAGGCCAGCATACTGCATCAGGCCAGCATACTGCATCAGGCCAGCATACTACATACTGCATCAGGCCAGCATACCACATACTGCATCAGGCCAGCATACCACATACTGCATCAGGCCAGCATACCACATACTGCATCAGGCCAGCATACCACATACTGCATCAGGCCAGCATACGGCATCAGGCCGGCGTACGGCATCAGGCCAGCGTACCGCATCAGGCCAGCATACTGCATCAGGCCAGCATACTGCATCAGGCCAGCATACTACATACTGCATCAGGCCAGCATACCACATACTGCATCAGGCCAGCATACCACATACTGCATCAGGCCAGCATACCACATACTGCATCAGGCCAGCATACCACATACTGCATCAGGCCAGCATACTGCATCAGGCCAGCATACTACATACTGTATCAGGCCAGCATACCACATACTGCATCAGGCCAGCATACCACATACTGCATCAGGCCAGCATACCACATACTGCATCAGGCCAGCATACCACATACAGCATCAGGCCAGCATACCACATACTGCATCAGGCCAGCATACCACATACTGCATCAGGCCAGCATACCACATACGGCATCAGGCCAGCATACCACATACTGCATCAGGCCAGCATACCACATACTGCATCAGGCCAGCATACCACATACGGCATCAGGCCAGCATACCACATACTGCATCAGGCCAGCATACCACATACGGCATCAGGCCAGCATACCACATACTGCATCAGGCCAGCATACCACATACTGCATCAGGCCAGCATACCACATACTGCATCAGGCCAGCATACCACATACTGCATCAGGCCAGCATACCACATACTGCATCAGGCCAGCATACCACATTCTGCATCAGGCCAGCATACGGCATCAGGCCGGCATACCGCATCAGGCCGGCATACGGCATCAGGCCAGCGTACCGCATCAGGCCAGCATACTGCATCAGGCCAGCATACCGCATACTGCATCAGGCCAGCATACCACATACTGCATCAGGCCAGCATACCACATACTGCATCAGGCCAGCATACCACATACTGCATCAGGCCAGCATACCACATACTGCATCAGGCCAGCATACCACATACGGCATCAGGCCAGCATACCACATACTGCATCAGGCCAGCATACCACATACTGCATCAGGCCAGCATACCACATACTGCATCAGGCCAGCATACCACATACTGCATCAGGCCAGCATACCACATACGGCATCAGGCCAGCATACCACATACGGCATCAGGCCAGCATACCACATACGGCATCAGGCCAGCATACCACATACTGCATCAGGCCAGCATACGGCATCAGGCCAGCATACCACATACTGCATCAGGTCAGCATACGGCATCAGGCCAGCATGCCACATACTGCATCAGGCCGGCATACGGCATCAGGCCAGCATACCACACACCACATCAGGCCGGCATACCACATACGGCATCAGGCCAGCATACCACATACGGCATCAGGCCAGCATACCACATACTGCATCAGGCCAGCATACCACATACGGCATCAGGCCAGCATACCACATACTGCATCAGGCCAGCATACCACATACGGCATCAGGCCAGCATACCACATACTGCATCAGGCCAGCATACCACATACGGCATCAGGCCAGCATACCACATACTGCATCAGGCCAGCATACCACATACGGCATCAGGCCAGCATACCACATACTGCATCAGGCCAGCATACGGCATCAGGCCGGCGTACGGCATCAGGCCAGCGTACCGCATCAGGCCAGCATACCGCATCAGGCCAGCATACTGCATCAGGCCAGCATACTACATACTGCATCAGGCCAGCATACCACATACTGCATCAGGCCAGCATACCACATACTGCATCAGGCCAGCATACCACATACTGCATCAGGCCAGCATACCACATACTGCATCAGGCCAGCATACTGCATCAGGCCAGCATACTACATACTGTATCAGGCCAGCATACCACATACTGCATCAGGCCAGCATACCACATACTGCATCAGGCCAGCATACCACATACTGCATCAGGCCAGCATACCACATACAGCATCAGGCCAGCATACCACATACTGCATCAGGCCAGCATACCACATACTGCATCAGGCCAGCATACCACATACGGCATCAGGCCAGCATACCACATACTGCATCAGGCCAGCATACCACATACTGCATCAGGCCAGCATACCACATACGGCATCAGGCCAGCATACCACATACTGCATCAGGCCAGCATACCACATACGGCATCAGGCCAGCATACCACATACTGCATCAGGCCAGCATACCACATACTGCATCAGGCCAGCATACCACATACTGCATCAGGCCAGCATACCACATACTGCATCAGGCCAGCATACCACATACTGCATCAGGCCAGCATACCACATTCTGCATCAGGCCAGCATACGGCATCAGGCCGGCATACCGCATCAGGCCGGCATACGGCATCA